GTATTAGAACACCATAATGATAGTGTGTGGACTGGCCCATGTTGAGGCAGGTAAACTCGCCGGTGATTACCATTAAGCGTGGACGTAGTGGACTTGCCAGGATTTGATGAACACTGCCGTTTTGTTGCGTGTCCTGAGAGAAAGCGACAGTGTAATTGTGTAGTAATATTTAGATATAATATAAATATTGAAGATGATAATATATTGGTGAACGTGTATTGTTATCCCCGCCCCTTTATTCTTTTCATTACTACTTGCCACCACTAGTTCTTGAAAACTTACCATTGACTTTGGGTAGGATCAAGAAGAATAGGTTATAAAACACGTTAACAGAAAGACTCTGGTTACTGGCCCAGCTGGCCGTAACATTGGATCTTTGTCAAGGGCACTGGGAATACTCTCCTTTTTATGTCAAATGGATTACCAATTTTTACAAAATAGTTCAATCTATGGTTAAAAAAAATTAAACTTCACAGGGTTAAGGAATATTGAAAGCACGTGAAGTCTTGTAATAACTATACAATCTGTCGATGAAGGGTTGCCATTTATGGTGCAGTACGATACCTCAGAAGTTGCTATTTCAGCAGTCTTCCCCAGCCCGTCCTGTTGAGCGTCGCCAACATCAGGAAACCGATGTACTAAATTGTCCGAGCCTAACCTAACCTAACCGAAGACCCACGAATAGAAAACGGGACCACTTGAGTTTTGCGAGCCGCTATGATTTTTAGTACATAATTTTTTGTTTTTATGGGATTTATACCTTAAAATGTGATGTACTTTTCAAGATGTCGGGTTGAACCAAGGTGGTCGAAATGTTGCAGGACTTTGCAGGGTTGTGAACTACATTATCCAGCGGTACCGAAATAGACTTCGGTCATTAGAGGCGGTGACTAAATGGTGCTATTTCCTTGCCAGGCGTCATTTTGTGCTGCTCTCTGACCAATGCTCTGTTGCAGTAAACGACAGAAGGCGAACTAAAATAAATAACAATGAAATGTCAAGAATGGAGGTTGGAGCATGGATTCTTTAGCTATAAGGCTGGTAATAAAAGCTGCGCCCTAATACGTTGGTCAAGCAATTTGCTGTTCAATATTTCTAACTTCTGCTTTCACTGAAATTCATAATGGACTCTGTCATCCTGGAGTGATTCGGCTCCTACACTTAGTGGGGGGAAAAAACTCTCCCATACTTATCAAAAGATGCAACAACATGTGCATTTTGCGAGGTTAACGCAGAATTTAAGCCATAGTTCCACCGCCCATCAACGAAGACACTCAACAAGGCTACTTGGCCTGTACAGCTTGTTTTCAAGGGGCCCCGACCTTTAGCAACCTTTAGATACTTGTGTAAGGAATCAATCAGAACCTTGTATACCACATATGTCAGACCAATCTTGGAGTATGCAGCTCTAGCATGGAGTCTATATCTCGTAAAGTATAAAACTAAATTGGAGAAGGCTCAAGAAGTTTCGTTCGTTCGTTCACGTAGATTAGGAATAGTATTGGCCACAGTTAATGTACACTAGTGGTAACATCCCACCACTCTGAGATCTCTGTGACTGTTATCAGTTGCAGAGGTACATCTTTATTCACTGAAGCACCTTTCTTGTCGCTCCTGTCTCTTTCTCCATTTTGTGCATTATTCTCCTGTGAGGGGTACTGTATCAAAGGCTGTCTGACTGTCCAAAAATATGCAATCTGTCCACACTTTATCGTGTCTGAGTTCAGTCTACCAGTTATAGAACTATCGGATTTGTGAGGTAGAATTTGCCATAACTGAATCCATGCTAGTTGTTTCAAATTCCCCTCTTCAGATGTTCTACTAGCCTCTTTATTATGATATGCTGTATTTTTTTTTTTTTTTTTTTTTTTTTTTTTTTTTTTTTTAATAGATATATAAAAAGAGTTGTTACATTCTTGTACAGCCACTAGTACGCATAGCGTTTCGGGCAGGTCCCTGAAATACGATCCCCCACCGTAAAATGTGTACTCGGTTGTTGCAACCGAGTACACATTTTACTGTTGCGTTAAACAGAGGTTACAGTTAAGGATTTGTGCCCAGTAAATCCTCCCCGGCCAGGATACGAACCCATGACAAAGCGCTCGCGGAACGCCAGGCGAGTGTCTTACCACTACACCACGGAGACTGTAAACTTTACATTGTGTGTAAGTTTGGTTTGCTGGCTTGTAGTTTCATACCTTCTGTCTGTTCTCCATTTTGTATATTAGTTAACTCCCAACTCTGGTAGTTCTCCTGCTTCCAGTGACTTCTTAAATATCACACTAGGTAGCCATGACAATTTTTTATCTGGACCTAGGGCCTTGATCACATTCAGCTCCAGTTATTTCAATTTTTTTTGGTTATGTCAAAATCATTCAGTGTTGCTTATCAAGTTCTGTCTCGCCCTGCTCAGGAACATCTTCTTGCTCTATTGTGAAGACCTCTTGTAATATCTTGTCGAGTTCCTCACAGATTTCTCTGCTGTTCTCATAGAATGAGTCCTCTCCAATCCTCAGTTTCATCACTTGTTCCTTAACAGTTGTTTTCTTCCTGATGTGGCTGTGAAGCAACTTGAGCTGGGTCTTTGCTTTAGCTGCAATGTTGTTTTCATATTATTTTTCTGGTTCCCTTCTCATTCTGAAGTACTCGTTGCTGGATCTTTGGTACCCCTTTCTACTCCCTGGTGTTCTTTTGATCTTGTAGTGCTTCCATGCCTTTGTACTTATAACCTATATTTCTTTACATCCGTTGGCTAAATCAAGGGTTAGTCATATGCCTTTCACTATCCTCCTTATGGAGAGATACAAATCTACCAACTTTCTCCCAGCATATCTCATTGAAGAAGCCCATCATTTGTTGTTGGGACTTCCTTCTGAGTTCTATTTCCCATAATATCTTTAACAGGTCTCTCATCTCTTCATACTTCACTTTATCCTTTGATATGCCTACCTTTTACCTCTTGGCCGTTTCTCTAAACAATGCTTTTCTACTTCCACAAGATACTCAAATGCCATTACACCGTTAGCTTATTCCCAAGGAGGCGGAGGGTTCAAAGTTGATTTCAGTTATGTCTGACTCATTGTGTTTAAATATCAGATCAAGTTTGGCTGGTTCATCATTATCCTTTATTCTTGAGGGTTCATTGACATGTTGACTTTGGAAGTTTCTTGCTGCCATTTCCACGACTTTGGTTCTCCATGAATTGGTACTCCTATGGGGGTTTTCCTATTCTCCCAATTTATTCCATAGTTGAAGTTCCACATGATTAAGAGGCAAGATCCATTCCTGTTTGCAAATAAGGCAGCTCTTTAAAGTATAGTAATAAATGCTCTTGTTTTTTGTTATACTCCTTCCTGAATCTTCTATTATTTTGTAGAAGACTGTATAGCTTATCACTGCTGTTATTATCTTATGTTGTCATCCCATTGTTATGGTTCCTGTTACATAATTATTGCCTGGGATTAACAGCTCCTTGAATGTCTAGTCCTCCTTAATTAGCAGGGCTACACCCCTCCTTTCTTACAACATGATAGTCTTGGGGGAATACTGCATTAATTATGACTCTTGGCAGTTCATTTGTGCAATTCCATCCAAATTATCCTCATTTATCTGTTCAAGTTTAATAGATTTCTGTAATACTACCTAGGTTGGTGTACATTAAAGCATACTTCTAACTATGTATTCTTGCTTGCAAGCTCCCTTATCATCAGTCCCCCTAGTATGGACGATTTTTAAGGTGTGGTAGTACATAGTAATGTAGTTGATGGGGTTCTGAAAGGAAGTAGGAAAAGGGGATTTGGGTGTCATTTACTACTTCATATGGAATTTGGGGGTTAAGAATAATTGCTAGGTTTGTGTGTTCTAATTTGAATCCTAAAGTCCATGATATCATTCGATGATGATACCAATACTGTATTCACCTAGTTGTGCTTGTGAAGGTTGAGCTCTGCTCTTTTGGCCCGCCTCTCAAATGTCAATCAACTTTTTTTTTTTACGCACATGCACACACACATACACACAAAATAGTAGAAGTAGTTAGAAACGGTTGAGTAACAGTTGAGAGGCGGGCCGAAAGAGCAGAACTCAACCCCCGCAAGCACAACTAGGTGAATAACCCCCCCCCCCACAGGAAGCAGCTGTCTAACTCCCAAGTATTGTACCTATTTACTGCTAGGTAACAGAGGGCATCAGGGTGAAAGAAACTGTGCCCATTTGTTTTCCACCATCGCCGGGAATCGAACCCGGACCCTAGGATTACGAGTTCCAAGCGCTGTCCACTCGGCCACAGGCCCCCCTCCCCCTAGAGTGGCACAGGTCCACAGTGGCATAGGCCACTGTGGACTAGTCACCATGCATCCCATTTGTTCTATCATGCCTACAAATAGAATAAACTGAAATCCAAGCCTCATTGTCCATGTAATCTCTAGTATAGGTTTCTTTGAAAGTTTTAGGCACTGCATTTAACTCTAAGGAAGCCATTTATGAAAGGTACAGAACTTAATTTTAGGCCTTGAATGTCAACAAGATGAGAGAAGTCACTCGAATTTTTTTTTTTTTTTTTTTTTTTAAGGTGGGCCCAAGCTCCAAGGTGCGTGGGAGGCGCACCACCACCAAGGTGCGCGGGGGGCACACCACCACCACCACACTCCTCAGTACCGCAGAGGGGTGTAGTAATACTTGTGAATAGTGTGTGTATGGCTTGTTCTGCCAGTAGCAATACCATGCATTCCTGCCCTATTGTAACCAGCAATCATAATCCTGAATATAGTCTAAGATTAAGGTAAACTCTCAGTATAAATATACATCAAGTAGGATAAACTTTTTGGAGTTATAATGCTTGTTCAGGGGCATATTTAATTTTAAAGGCATTAAATAAACATTATGTCAAGCAAAATTGAGTATAAGATCAAGTTATGTTACTTTTAATTGATAGTAAACATGAAACACTTGTCAATATTTTATAAATAGAAGTAATAAGTATATGGTAAGTCAAAGAATGATATACTAAACAATTTATTAAACTTTTAGGCATACATATTACTTTAAACAAAGTTCAAATTGTTCACTTTACAGCATGTCTGCAGAAATTAAAGCTACATAATAATTTTCCTTACACCAATTTCTTTGCAACTGAGGCAGCAACCCATAGGACATGGAATTGGCAAGTCTGGGGCCTAGACAGGTATAACAAGATGGACCAACATCCACTATATCTATATTTTGTATACCATCACGCACATCCAAGGACCAGGGTCACTGAACAATCAGCTTAAGTTGGATGGCCCAAATGGCTGAGCAACCATTGATATACACGTACATATTAACCTTTGTAGTCGATGACACAAACAACCCATTACGTATACCAGCTTGTATGACGATCAAGTTCAAATGAATAACCACTGTTGGTACACTTTCTAGTATGTATCCAAATACAATATACATTCCAATACTCAATGTGGATTATTTAAAAAAATAAATTATGGTTTAGTATTTAATGTTTTATGTAAACTGTCAATCTCTCTCTGGGCTGTCTATATTAAGTATACCTCATTTTAAGTCACGTGAAGGGTTGCCATCCAAAGCCTCAATTAGCACCTTGTTTCCCATCCAACCCCATAATGTCAACATGCTGAGAAGTGGTTCCAAACTAGCTCCACCCGAGTTCCATCTAGGATCCACCTGAAACCTACTACGGCCCTTTTTTCTACCTTGGCACCACCTAGGACCCATCTGCTGCACTTATTCCCAAGTTGAGCCCAGCCCCAAACTGGTCAATTACTCGACCTAGGGGGCTTTACCCATGGATGAGAAACTGTGTACAAATTATAAAAAGTGAAAGTCACTATTTTACAAATGGCTATTTTTTAAGTATACAGTATTAAGAAGGATCAAAATTTGTCAACCAAATAAAAGATTTCCTGTACAAACACAAAACAAAGTTTTTTGTGTATTTGTGGGTGCCACTGGCCACCCCCACACACTTGGGCCCACAAGAGAGGTAACCCAACCAGGTGAGCAATGAGTGACTTAAGTATTGAACACATGGACACAGTGCTTGTAACTACTGTCCTCATTATTTTAGTGAAAAACCTAATTTCCTGAAGCTTTCAAAGACCGTTCGCAACTGATGTTCAGTCATACAACTCGTGCACATCATCAGAAAGAAAAAGGTAAAAATGATCAAATAAGTGTGCATGCCCAGATGAAGAATGAAAAGTTTGCATAAAAAAAAAAGGGGGGGGGGGGGGGGGGCACCATGTAAGGCCATAATTGTGTCAAGGTCTCCAGCTGGTCACACACACTGACTGTGGTTACAAACTGGTTAAGCCAAGGTCTTCTGGAGGGGGACACGTTCACATTCCAGCCTCGCCACCAAAGCCCATTCTAGTGTACTGGGCGAATGATAAAATATTTTGATATGACTAAAATAGAAATAGTATATCGCACAAGACAAATTTTATGATGGACTTAACCGAGATGAGGAATAGCAATAGATACACCTGAAAAGCTCCTAAGTGCTGTTCTTCATCCCTAAACACTGCATTCATCTTTCTCACCCTTCATCAACTCAACATATGCTGCCACTGTTTGATAAAACACATGTAAATAAACAAATATATGAATTGCTAAACAATGAATAAGCTTTTTAATTTTGCTTCTATTTAAAAAAAATAAATAAAAACCAACAATTTTCAATAGAAAATGTTAACACATTATATTTACATAATTAGTAATGCCAATGATATTTAAGAAATGACAATATACACTTTGTATACCAATCTGCTGCATATTCTCTTTTCATATCAAGCCATATGAAAATTAAATTTTTTTAAATGATGGAAGGCAAAGACACTCATACAATTACAGTCTAGCCATAATTAGGCAAGATTAGCCATGTTTCAACTTGCAGTGATGTGCACCTCACATCTGCACCAACAGTCTACCGTCGAGTCGGTACAGCTGCACCCATTTGCTAAGGCGGTGAATGGTCAGCTGACCTGAACACCACAATACGAACAACAAGTCCAGCTATTGCCATCCTGCCCTCAAGATGCACTCTTCGGGTTACTCTTAGCTGCAATCCAATCATTGATCTCCTTTTTCAGTGCTTCAGCTGTAACAGAATACAGTATTTAAAATGAATGATTAAACTCAAATATGCTTGGTAGTCATATTTATTTTGTGTATTCCCTTCGAATTTTCATTGTCAGCTAAATTATTTGTATGATAACTGATATGGCAACATGGGCAGAATGATCCTCATGGTGTTTAATCATCCTTAATCCATTTATCCTAAGATTTATGGTTACCAGACTATTTGGAAAAAAGAATTTTTAAACTGTAAAATCAAGAATTGTAATATTATGAACTAGGCAACACACATCAAGTAAATATTTATCAAAACAAAGCATCAGGCCAGGAAAAACACACATCTTAAAATTGTAATCGCTAAAATTCATTAGATCCATCCCAGCACTCAAATTTCAGTAATAAATATGTACTATATCCATCATCATCTCTAGAGAAGCTCCATATTTTGTCAGTCATATTACTGTACTTTCAAAGTCACTTTTCCAGGTTAACGAGTTTCTTGTGTCCGATTTGTTTTGATAAAGCTGTCTGGTAAATTTGTTTATCGTACTGCGCTGCCCAGTGCAAACTGGGACTTTAGTCGCAGCTGACATATCTGTGCACCACTGACTCAGCCAAGCAATATTCCACTTTAATACAAATAACAAACCATCCTCGAATGTAATGAAATGCCATTTTCTGGGCGAGACCCGGAGGCTCCCGAGAGCTAACCAGGCTAATATGAATGTATTAGACCCTGGCATCAGTTCTAGGAGTTCTAAGCCTACTGAGGACTATGAGCCAGAACCTTCCCCTCCCCCCCCAAAAAAAAATTCCATTCTGATTAAAATATTGCTACTGAAAGCCATACTGGTGGACAGAACACCCCAACTGAAAACGAGCATGAAGTCACCACGTCACCGTCTGCGCAACACCTTCCCCCAACCCCCCCAGGAGGGGGAAGAGGGTGCCCCAGACCCCTGTGCCAGCTATCCACACCCCAGTTCTGAGGCTGGATGTCAAATTCACGAGTACACCTGGCTCAATGGCCTTAAGGATTACACAGAGCAATTCAAAATAAAATATTAGCCAAACTTCAATATTTGATGGAAAAACATCACAGAATTTGCACTTCTTGTACAAAGTAACACGAGATGCATCAAATACAATCTCTTGCCTCATCTCATGGAAGTGAATCTCTTAATTACATAACCTAAATATACAGATATAAAGCATAATCCTCAAAAACTTATGTATCACCCCCATAACTACAAAGTAAACGCCACTAACCTGGCAACAGCTGTTCTTCTGTGAGAGGCTGACGGGTGAAGGGATCAGTTGGATCATTGAGCAGATGCCTCACGATGGTGGGTCTGTCCATCACAACTCCCGATGGCAATTCTACAGGATCTTCCATTAATGTCTGCATTAAAGGATCTGAAAACAAAAATCCTTTAAGAACTGCATCCTAAGATAACAAAAAAAAACTGTAAATTATATAAGTTAGCATTAATGTGCAAGAGTTTTTTTTGACTTGTAAGGCATTAAAAAGGAAAATGGGAAAGTACCCATTCTTGGGAACAGGAAGCCTGTTAGGTTTCCCTGTACTGCATGTGTGGTCAACAACTGGGATGCATTAAAGGAAGAAGTTGTCAAAGTCAATGCCATCCACAACTTCAAGAAAAAAATGATGAAAACGTTTTTCTCTCTCAAACGTTGAAAATGATTGAGAGATAATTAGCACAGTCAGTTTCACACCCCAAAGGGCAAGAACATGCATTAATTTATATATTGTCTGCACACATTGTTTTCCTTTTGTTAATCCTTAAGCCATGCTAGGTGACAGTGGACAATTCAACAAAAACTGACTTATGTGGAATAAAAATAATTCCAATATTAAAATAAAATCAATAAATAACAATCATCCATAGGGCACTGTTGTAATAACACACTGTTAATGCATCAGCCAGCCATCGACAAACATCTAGAAACAAAATTCATCATATTCATTTAAGATCAAAGTTAACCTTATTTCTTCTAGAACATCATTAGTACAATTTCCTAACATTAATATTATAGTAGACTGTATTAGACCAACACCAGAAAGTGTGGCTGGTATATTTAAACCCAAAATTAATTCAAAATCAAGTAGAATTAACATAGAAAGGTATCAAAAGTACCTGTATGTTTCTTTAATACTGAGCTGACAACTCAACAATATCGGGAGAGAAGGTGTCGCCAAACACCACGGGGCCGCTGGCCACCTAGCAATCAGTATGACCACCACAAGGCAGTCAAGAATGCACAGCATTGTCTAGGAGTGCAAACACCAATGCTTCATTTCTGCCAACAATAAACTTTAAACTTAAGTGCCATGTTTAATTAGAACTAGTAAAACAATTGGCATGTTCAGTTCTATAACTGGGACAAAATATACTAATAGTGTATTAGGGCATTGAAAGAAGCCCATGTTAACTCCACCGCATTATCATCGTTTCCGTCTCTGATGCATCACAACTGATAAGTAGATTTTTGGTTCAGTAGGTATATGGGATCACAGTATTATTGCTTAGCTATATACAACATACACAAATACAGTATAACGTAAGTTTAGTAGCTGGTTACAAAGCAAGAGAAATCCCAAAATTCAGATTAGCGCAAGTGCTAAGCTATTAATTACTAGTGTTAGTTTGTAATATGAATAGGCACTATTAGAAACAGTGCAGACCTGCATATTACAATAAAATATGATTATAAATATCTTTACTTAGAATATTTTGCAGGAGCTGATATGCATCAACCATCTCCTATGACACCCCGGATCATCCCCCATACATAAAGAGGCTAGCTTTATGATCCACAAGTACAGTCGACGTACCATTCAAGGGAACTGCTCAGAGTGCCGAAACTTAAAAACCAGAAGTTGAGGTACATGCAAAGTTCAACCCCCACACCAAACCAAGCAATCCTTCAAATCTGAGTTCATTACCAGAAGTCAACATCCCCACGAACAAGGTGCGCCAAGGCCTGTCTTGGTCATGAACTCTAAGCCAAAAGTCGAGAACACCAGAAAGAGGGGAAGAACTAGCAGGGACTTACTAGATGGCAACTGCTCACACCTTGGACACAGAAAAATTCATTCTATTTAAGGGCACCTTCAACAGGTGCCAACAATCCTAGTTCATTTACAGTTATACACACGAGGATCCATATCAAACACCATTGTACACAGTAATGTGTCCCTAATACTTACCCATGAAGTGGTCTGGTGCATCACTATAATCTTCATCCTTCTTCTGATTAGCCTGTTGGACACCATAAGCTTTTTGCCCTATGCTTCGGAATTTCGCAACCTCAGAGCTACACTTAATGACTGCTCGCTCAAGTTTGGATGCTGCCGTTTCAAATAATTCTCTCTTGAAGGATCTCTGAGAAAGTGAATAAAAAACCAACATTGAATGTTATTTTGAATGTAATGAAACATTTTCTGGGTAGAGCCCCGGAAGCTCCCTGGAGATATTGAACTGATATTTGCTAATATTAGTCTTATGGAGTTGTCATGCCTACTTGGGACTGCTTGCCAGAACACGGTCTCCTCAGAGAGGTGAAGGAAGCAATGACCAATGAAACTCATGTATAAAAGTATTCATGTCTGCTGATCGACTGGGGTCAAGCACCCAGAAAGGTAGGCACTGATATTAGCTAATGTCAGTCCAAAAGCTCCAGGGAGCCGACGGGGCTCCCCTAGAGAAAGAACCTTATGAACATACCTAAATGCATTTGTTATGTATTACTAAGAAAAAGATCAGTGATTAGTAAAGACGACATATGCCACAGAAATGTTAGCAAAGGAATCTACATATATATGCCCAGATAAAGACATTTTGATAAGGCTCTTTATGGTCTATTTTTAAGTGAAGCAAACTGCATACAAAATCCATGTTTGGCACTGGTAAATGTTTGAGCAAATAAATAAAATAAAATTAGGTATTAACAGTGATGAGAAAGAAAGATGAAACAAAGAAAATGCTATCAAGGTAGAATATGAAAAATTACACTTATTGAAATTTTCTTATTGAAAATTACATAAGAAACATGTTGAACTGTTTGCACACTTCAGGGATTGTCATATATGACAAATTGCCAGTACTGTACCTCTCAAACTTTGAAATACACTTTCAATGTTTGAACACACTCAAATGACACTTTACATCACAAAAATAATGTCTAAATACAACAAATTCACAAGATCCCGGGGAGAAAACAAGATATTACAGTGGAACCTCGAGTGACGAGCGGCTCCATCTACGAGCATTTTGAGTAACGAGCGAGCCACTTGCCGAAAATTTGTCTCAATTGACGAGAAAACCACGTGGTGTTTCCAAGCATTCTCACTGGTTCTTGCAAATTTTTGGATGCCACAGGCCAACGAGAGTGTTGTTTTATTGTGCAGGATAAGCATCCCTCTGCATTTATTTGTGCTTTTCATTGGGTATTTTGTGGTTTTGTGACTACAATTTATAACCCACGATGTTCCCAAAGAAGCTGCTTGCTAAAAATAGTGTTGTCAAAAGGAAGAAAGACACAATTACTGTAAATTTGAAGAAGGAAATCGCCTGACTCGGGGGGAAGGGGGGGGGATTCTCCTTCCACACCATAACCCCTCTCCTCCTCCTCCCCACCTCCCCATCGTCTCCCTCAAGCCAGCAATGACTTCATAAGGTAAAGCACATGTACAATTGAAAACAGCAAAACAAAACATTTATAATATAATTACAAGTACAGTATTATATTTACATTATAAAATGTTATATTGATTTTTTTTTTTTGGGGGGGGGGAGGTACCTGATTGATGGGGTTCTGGGAGTTGTTCTACTCCCCAAGCCCAGCCCGAGGCCAGGCTTGACTTGTGTTTGGTCCACTAGGCTGTTGCTTGGAGCGGCCCGCAGGCCCACATATCCACTACAGCCCGGTTGGTCAACAACACAACACTTGTACCCCCTATTAGACTATTTTACAAGAACTTCTTTTCGACGGCTCATAAAACAGAGGAAAGGGTCCTGAAAAATATTGTTGATAGGAACGTTATCCCTACAGACAAAAATCAGAAAATACAATTGACAACTTACTATAAAACCAAAAAAACAGCCAATCTACTCATGAAAAACTCCCCAGACACCAAGCAGAATGCCTTGAAGGAAACCAACGTCATCTATGCCTTCAAATGCCCACTTGGGGACTGAAAGCCCCAAAGAACTCGGTGTATATAGGCAAGACAACAACGTCTCTTTCCAGGCAATTAACAATGCATAAACAACAGGGCTCCATCAAGGAACATATAATCTCTTCTCACAACCAGACCATCACCAGAGAAATCTTAACAAACAACACAGAAATCATCGATAAGTACAGCAATAGCAGGCGGCTCGACATCAGCGAGGCACTACACATCAAAAAGTCAACACCAGCAATCAATAGCCAATTAATGCACAACTATATTCTACCCACTTCAAGACCCCAAACCAATATGAAAGCAGCAGGAGGAAGTATGGACCAAAAGCCTTCTGCAGTTACTTCCATTCATATGTTCTCATATCCAAGTTATACCCATTGTTTCATGTTGTCACAAGTTTGTTCACCTCACCCAATAGAGTATAAGTACGATGAATTTGTGTGTAAATTAAGTCTTTGAAAATGTAATAAGCCATTACGAAACGCGTTCAGGCATCAGACCATAAATAAAAATTAATTTTGGAGAATTGATATTTCCATTACTACTGACAGTGAAGAAAAACATAAGAAATATTGAGAAAATTCGTGTTGGAATTATTAATCTTACCTTTTCGGTCATATTCAACAAATTATATTATATATATATATTATATGTATATATTATATATATATATATACACACACACACACACACACACATATTAGATAAATATAAATAGACATACAAAATAAAATGTATATAAAGTTTTGAAAGTAATTGCTTGACATCACCAACCTCATCGCTAGCTATTGACTCATAAAATCTGTTTGAGTCCAGGTGCAGATAGATGTCCACTAGCTGCTCTAGAAGTTTTCGAGGCTCCCAGCCATATTTGTCAGCTTGTCTAACCTTCAGGTTACCACCTTTAACAAACAAAAATATTATTATTATTATTATTATTATTATTATTCACTGTACTGAGCAGATCATTTCAATGCAAGTTTGATAAACAACACCGGGTTACAGATTTGCCATGTACAATTTTGAACAAAATGCTACGAATGGCAATTGTACTGCTCCATCACAAGGAAAATGCCAACATTTTCTCCACTTTTTTTTTTTTTTTTAAGTTTAAGGGATGCTGCAAGCAGATGAGAAAGTTTAAAAGTCGAGATGAGAATTTGTTTACATTCAGAAATATTTTGTTGTTTAACCCTTCACATATGGTACTATACTTCTGAAACCTGTTTACCCCCCTATGACTAAATTCTATGTATGTATGTATACACAGACGACCACGTGCTTTCTGGACACTACTTATTCGGATATGCCAGTTATTCGTTTTCGCCTTGTCCGAATATGATTAGCGTAAAGGTGCTGAGGCAAGCAGGTAGTCTTAATAAACATGTGCTATAAAGTGGATGGGCCTTGTTAACCCAGTGACCATACTGGGCACCACCTACCCATGTGATGTCATAAGTTCATGGACCATTGTTTTGATCTATCTTAAGACACTGAAGCAGAGGAACTAAGATCTAAATATGGTGGAGAGTGAGATCTCAGAAAGTGTTACATGCACTGAGTATCAAGTGAGCAAAATTATTCTTTCAGAAATGATTAAGGCTAAATGTAGAATCTTTGACAATTTCTCTAGAAGTGAAAGTGATAAAAGGAATGCATAATAGAAACTCAGCAAGTAAGCTATTATGCAAACTATAGATAAAGAAGTGTGGGAGATGTACAAGCATTTTAACAACTGAGAGTGCCACATCACCATTAACCTCCTCTTCAGTCAACTCAACATCATTAACATCTACCACCTCTAACATCTAAATAACAAAGCACCATCAACAATAATCTTCATCATCATAAGTGTGTCTGAACTTCTCATATTCAGGAGCACAAAGTACCATCAAATTCCCCCATCCCCCTAGATTTTTGGAACGACAAACCATTTATCTATACAGAACAGGTTATGTCTAAGTTATGTCTTGTTCAGTCTTGGTCCTGAGGAATCCAGAAAGCATGTGGTTATCTGTGCAGTATATACATGATAAAAGGCTACAAAGAGAAAGACAAGGATGAGGAGGGAGGTGAAGAGAAGCCATAGAGTCGAGGAATGACAGGTTAAGAGAGTGGGGTAACTAAGCCCCATCAGGAAATGCCAACAAATTGAAATTTGCCATTGAAAACTTAAAAATCTACCTGTTTGAATAAATAATCACTGACTGCAGGTCAGTGACTGAAGTAAAAAGAGTACGAGTGTAAGAGGAAAGCAAACACACAGAAATAAGGATGTTTGAAGAGGCTGCTACATGGAATTTTCTTTTGTACAGCAAAGAATGACGTATTTCTTTAAGGAATTATTTACAACGATACCCACATTTCTGTCCACAGAGTTGGGCAAGGTTAAAGTTGAGCATAGCTGCTAGCCTGTCACACAGCTCTGGCCTCAGGAAGGGGGCAGGTACTTCTTTTGTTAGGTAATGCATCATGTCAACAGTCTCTCTTGCTAAAGTCAGATATGACCTGTGGAATTTGAAGGCATGGCAAAGTAATATTTAACAGTTTACCAAAGCAAGAATAGTACACAAATTATTTTCAAATTTTCCTATTTTAAAACTGCAAATGACTGCTAGGTATAAAATATTCCTATTCTAAAACATTATGTTTTTTTAATTGATAAGTAAAATGAAAAATTTTGAAAGCCATGTCTCATTCATATATCAGTATCAAATATGCTGTAATATATCCATCTTCATACTATCCATAAATGTACTTACATACAAAACAAATATTCCCAGAAAAAATTTACTGGAAATTATATCAATTAAGAGTAAATTAAAAATTTACTATAATGATATTTAAACAGTCATTATAATCTCACCTGCACTGTCTCTCATCAGTTGCTAGTAATCTCTGTCGACTCTGTTGTTGCTCCCGTGATTGTGTCGCCCAGGTTCCACGCTCCATTTCTTCTTGTACTTCATGGATACGCTGTTAACCAAATAACACAAAATTGAAGTCAAGAGTGTATTGATTATGGCACACAATAAAGAGAACTGCAAGCAGTTCTCTCTATTGTGTGACTGACTTTGGACCTCTACACGATATCCACCAAATTAGAGGGACAAGGCTAGGTTTGAAAAAATAGGTTACTTAGTTTATTTGTTCCCATGGGTGAAACGGTCCCCCAACGCCCTACATGATCTCGGTATCCTGAGGGTGGACAGTGCCTCAAACAGGGAAGCTTTCTAGCCTAGGAAAAAAACATTTCAAGTCAAGAATTGTCTTACCTTGAGAGCATCTAGAGATTCATCCAGCAGGAAAGTTGTATCATTCATAAGAAGATTAACAAACTTTACAAATTCTTTACCCGAGCTGAAATACAAGAATGTATTAGTACCGGATATGCAATTTCTGATGACACAAAATGTACATGCATTGCATACAAATATGTTTTGAGTTTTCCTAAATATACAGTAAAATGTCTCGTGCACACCACTACTTTTTCACTTACATTTTAAAGTATCTATTTAGATATCTCTAAAAAGTCTACTGCCAATTTTCATATATCTTTGCATCGTTTCCAATTACATCTAGTCTCTCGCTCCAAAGCAACCCAATGTTTCAGAAATCAAAATGTAATAGAATAAGTGATCATCCGTGGCTGAATTTGACTCCAGAAAATATTGGAAAACTTCCACTGGAGCCACCTTTTCTATACATGGACTGCAAATACATTCAGGAACCTGTAAACCAGTTGATAATAGGTTAAGAAGCAGGACCCAAAAGTTAAAGTTCAACCCCTGCAAACACAATTAGACGAGTACATCATCCACAGTACACAGTAGCATCTCACAACAGTGTCACAGTGAGCCGGCACCACCACCACATTTCAGCTCATCATCTACAACAGCACCTCATAGCAGCTTACACAATATATTACAAACATTAAGGTAAACATTTGTAGTAATTCTTTAAATCCTGAAATGTTTTAGGCAGTTATCTGATGTAAACTATTGTTGACCTTTGTATAAATGTTTCAATATAAAGTTGGTATACAGAAGTATTAGTAGTGAGGTCAATAACAGGTTTAAATAATAACATTTGTAATTTATTTCAATAATGCATGTTGATCTATCAAAACCAGAGCTTGTTTTTCTTACTCTTAACCCCAGCATAACAAAATCCATGCAGCCTAAATTAACTTGGTACAGTGATAAAGCAGGCCAAAAAGTAAGAACTCACTCCTTTTTATCTTATCTTAAACTTGCATGTGAAAAGGCTTTTCATTAAAATGTTTATACACAAGTAATTTAAGTGAAAACTGCTTCAATTAAAACAATCTTGCACAAGAGTGATAATAAACAGGGACCCACCTCCATGAGAGGAATAAATAAAGTTTGAATAATACACATACTTGGATTCTGTAATAAGAGCTTGTCGATGACGCCTGTCTTCCCACAGGCTCTTGAATATCACACTAATATGGTAACGTATCGTAAATTTGTCATAGAATTCACTGCTCGCTCCCGTTGACTCCACCACTGTTAAAAGTTGCATATCATTATGTTAAGATTTGCTTTAAATTAAAAATACATATACATAATGTACAATACTCCATTTCTCAATTTCACTGGGTGGGGGGGGGGGGGCAGGGAAGTTTGGGGAGGGGGGGGGGGAGAAAATAGGAGCAGTGAGTGTATTGAAAGGCTCTCACAGAACACTGATCACTTTATTCATTAGATGACTTTGGACCCTCTGGATATAAGAGCCTTTAAAATTATGTCATGTTCTCTCAAAAATGAGTAAATAACCTACTGAAACCAGCAGTTTTATCGTTATCTGTAAGCTGGGAAAGTTGGATGACAGCAACAAGAGGAAAGCTGGAAGGTTCATATCCTCAACTTGGAGGATATGAGGATTCTTTCCATGTGAAGGAAAGAAGGCTCATATCCTCAAATTACCTTGAAGACACACCCTTCACCAGTTTCCTACCATTTCTTCATTTAACACATCCAAACCATCTCAATATGCTCTTCTCAATCTTGCTGTTTGTTATTGATTTTTACACCCCCATATCTTTCTATGCCATTATTAAGGCATGGAAACATCTGGTGTGTATTAATGCATTGACACACATTAATTTATATACTGTATATATAAATTAATGGGTGTCAATGTTCAAGGAGTCTAAGACCTCCCACTTCAAAGAGAGAGAGAGAAGAAAACACTTATTAGAAATACTTAGGCATAAACAAATAGTAAAAGTAAATGTGTGTGTGTGTGTGTGTATTTCAGAAGCTCACTTGTGTAGAATTTCATGAGGGCAACTGGAAGATGCTCAGCAAGTGGATGGTGAAGAATACGCTGGTGTAAGGTGTCCACGTGTTGCTGCACTGACGGTGTCAACATGAACATCATCTGCAGATGAGACATTCAACTCAGATTAATATTATTACAATCAAGGAATTTATAGATCAACTTTTACTATAAAATATACTATACTATAATTTATATAGTAAATATACTATATTTACTATAAAAATTTCTCTCGTGTGTGGCTTTGGGTTGCAGGTTGCAGCCAGTTGTCTCGCCTTTGAGTTGCTGTGCGTGTGGCGACCGCCTCCCGGGTATGTTCCTCTTTTCCTTATCTTTAGTTATGTAGCTCCAGGGAGCCAAAAGAGCTCCCCACAGAAAACCAGGGTTGAATGTAACAAAACACCATTTTCTGGGTGAGCCCTGGAGGCTACCTGGCATCCTCCCTCCTGCCAGTCGGTGGTTTTTGAGTTGTTTTGATGCTTAGCCTCCAAACTGGAGTTGCTGGGTAGCCGACGCGGGGGGTCTGAGGCTCCCCCCTTCCCCTCCCAGGGAGGGGAGGGCTGCACAGACGAGCGGCGCAGTGTTCAATTCCTTGGGAATTGAGGGAGTTCTGCCTCTGTTTACTTTTTGGTTGTAATTTTCTTACCATGTGGGGGCTTGTGGTCCCCGGTAGGCTGAACTCCATTGACTAAAGCCCTGGTCTAATGTATCGCATATTAGCCTGAAAGCTAAAGGGAGTCGAAAGGGCTCCCCCACGGAAAAGTTATCTTTTTTACCTGTAGTTTAGTCATCCACTACTTTATCTACATTCCTCTATTTGAGGAATGCATAACAGCATAACAAAAAGAAGATGATTTGGATTTTGGATTTGGATTTGGATTTTAACAAAAATCAGCATGAAAATTTCCTTTGTAGAAGACACTGTAAAACTGCAGGCAGATATTAATTAAGTCTGTGATTGGGCAACTGAAAATAACATAATGTTTAATGGTGATAAGTTCCAGGGTACCGAGGTATGGTGTAAACTAGGAACTTAAACGAAACACAGGGTTCAGAACACAAATCTGGGTGTATTTAACCTAGAGTTCCACAACACCGATAAATCTTGAATGAAGATTACTTTCATCACCATAACTGCGGCCACCCAGGCTGCCACACAAGTTTCTACTGCTTCGGCCTACAAATACAACCCCACCAAGTAAAAAAAGGAACGATACCATGAGATCCAGCAGTGCTTTCTAGATACATTGTAAATCAGAAAATACACGTTTTGCAGTTTAGTGACTAACAAAATTCAAATAAATATATTAATTGGTAAATAATTTTAAACAACAGCAATGCAAATACAGTGACTTAAATTATCACCTGCTTTTTGGGAATACCGGTACAATCAATAAATCAATCAATCAATAAATAAAATAAATAAAATAAATAAAACAAACAAACAAACAAACAAACAAACAAACAAACAAACAAACAAACAAACATACATACATACATACATACATACATACATACATACATACATACATACATATATATATATAACACTATCACAAGGATGAAGGAATACATATGATAAACATGAAGAGCTCAAACTTTATTTTGCAAAATTACTGAACAGTGTTAAACAGCCAGAAATTAAATACTGTATTATGTTTCTGACTGTTTTGACCAACTTTGACTGAAAACTCCACATCCATTCTAAAGTTAGGTAGAGCAACTAGTGACTGGTACACCCACCTCAACCAGTTTAGCCGTGAGGTAGGGGTTCTTGATGTGTGACGGTGAACACAGGAGGACAATCGCCATGGTGATGATGGGATCTTCTAAGTGCTTGATGGGCACTTTGGGAACATACCTGACAACACAAAATGTGAGGCTCAAGCTTCAATTTGTATGCACCATTAAGAATTAAAAAATATATGGTTAAAGTTGTTTTTTGTTTTTATTTTTAACAATGTTTCACTTTCATTATGCAAGAAGATACTGTAAGTTGTTTACAGAAAAATTGTAACTACACAAAGCTTCCACCACTAAAATAAGAATATTTTATTCTGCAACAGAGTAAAATACTGTAGGTATCCAGCAAAGGAAAAGTTACAACTATCTGATCACTAAACACAGGTCAAGTTATTCTCACTAAGTACTCTTACTCTTCATTTGTTTATTCACATTACCAAATGGAAAAGGATTACTTACTGCAGCGTAAACAGTAAAAACTCGGCCATATCATCCAGGTACCATTCGGGGAATGCAGCAAATAGCTCTGGCAAGTCGGGCGGAAGAGGGAGTATTGTGGTGGTGTCGGCGAGTGACGACACTGGAGCAGCCAAGGAAGTTGGTCCTCCACTTAATGCCCGTAATATAATCTGAGCCACGCCACCATAAAAGTGCATGCAGCGCTCCAACAGGTTCTCATCCAAGAGACCAGCATCTGCACACACTTTGGATTTGTTGAGTTTCTGAAAAATTAAATATAAATTTAGCATTTAATTAAATTTTTCCCTTAAAAATTTACAATATAAAATTTAAAAATGACAAATAGCAGACATAAATCAAAATATGTAAACTCGATATAAGCCTAACGTGTATAAACACACTGGCAGCCAGTTCCTCCGACACCATGAATTAAGCTAATTATTAAAACGTTTACTAACTGCCAGATACTAGTACAGGCATACCTCAGAATGCGAGTTTAATCCGTTCCTGGAGACGCCTCGCCTTCCGAAAACTCGCATTCCGAAGTTAATTTCCCCATAAGAAATAAAGGGAAATGAATTAATCCGTTCCTGACTACCCCAAAAACCCCACATCAAACTAAATTTTTATACCTAATTTACCTAATTCATCTAAATAAACCTACAAAACTATGTTCCAGTTATTACTTACCTTACTGTCGAGTGCTGTAGGCGTATGGAAGCTGGTGAGGAGGGGGGAGGAGGAGAGGAGTTACTGTTTGGAAGGGGAGTCCCCTTCCATAATCACATCAGGCAGTGAGGACCTTTCTGGTGTGCTCTCCCTGGGACGTTTAACCTGAGTGCCACTAGGTCCTGGTTGAGGCTCACTGCTCGATTTCTTCACCAAATATTTGTCCATGGAAGCTTGCTTTTCCCTTCTTCGCAAGCTCTCTCTGTAGTAAGGCATCACATTGTCATTGAAAAGATTAAGACAACGGCCTACTACAGCTTTGTCTGGGTGAGTGTGTTCAATAGTTGTTTGAATCTCTTCCCACATCTGACACACCTTCTTAATTACTGCAGAAGGGACATTCGCTGGTGCTGTTGCCACCACCTCCTCCTCCACTGCAGAATCATTCGCTGCTGTGTTGGCTTGCTGTTCCTGTTGAAGGGCTAGGAGTTCTTCGGTGGTCAGTTCTTCGTTGTGTTCTTCCACCAACTCCTCCACATCATCACCATCCAATTCCAAGCCCATTTTCTGGCCTAGACTAACAATTTCCTCAACAATAGGCGCATCATTTATAGGCTCAAACCCCTCAAAGTCAAGTTCTCTCACACCTTCAGGCCACAATTTTCTCCAGCCAGAGATCAGGGTTCTTTGAGTCACTTCTTGCCAGGCTTTGTCAACGAGTTTTAAAGCACTAAAAATGTTAAAATGCTCTCTCCAGAACTCTTTGAGGGTGAGGTTTGTGGCTTCAGTCACTTCAAAACATTTCCGGAAAAGTGCTCTTTCATACAGTTTCTTAAAATTTGCTATGATTTTCTGGTCCATAGGCTGAATTAGAGGAGTGGTGTTAGGAGGAAGGAATTTAACTGTAAGGAATTTATTGTATTGAGGCATCAAATCATCTTCCAAGCCTGGAGGATGAGCAGGAGCATTGTCAAGGAGAAGAACGGCTCTGAGTGGCAATTGTTTCTCCTGCAGATATTTTTCTATGGCAGGGCACAGCACTTCATTCACCCACTCCGAAAAAATAAGCCTAGTCACCCATGCTTTTTTATTAGACTTCCACATCACAGACAAACGGGTTTTCTGCACATTATACTGTTTGAAAACCCTTGGATTTTCAGAATGATACACTAGCAAGGGTTTAATTTTTAAATCGCCACTCGCATTTGAACACAGCACAAGCGTAAACCTATCTTTCATAGGCTTGTGTCCAGGCAAGGATTTTTCCTCCTTGGTAATGTATGTCCTCTTAGGCATTCTTTTCCAAAACAGTCCTGTTTCGTCACAATTAAACACTTGTTGCGGTAGGTATCCCTCAGCCTCTGCAAACTCTTTAAATTCGTCAATAAATCGTCCAGCGGCTGGTTTGTCTGAGCTGGCTGCCTCCCCATGCCTTGTAACACTATGGATACCACTTCTCTTTCTAAATTTTTCAAACCAGCCCCTGCTTGCCTTAAACTCTTTCTTATCTGCATCACTCGTTGCAGGGGTCTTCTTTAGAAGGTCTTCGTGCAACACCCTGGCTTTCTCAGAAATAATGGCCTCCGAAACACTATCACCCCTCAACTCCTTGTCGTGTATCCAAATTAATAACAACTTTTCCACTTCTTCAAGTATTTGTGGTCTTTGTGTCGTTAATGTTCTTACTCCTTTTGCCACATTAGCACTCATAATCTTATTTTTCTTCTTAAGTATAGTGCATATTGTTGATGTCGCTTTGTTGTACTGCCTACAAAGATCAACAACACGTGTACCGTTCTCATGCTTTCGAATGATCTCTTGTTTCTCCTCTATTGTCATCCTCACATGAGCTTTCTGGCCTTTATCCTTACCACTGGCTTTCTTGGGACTCATGGTGAGATATATAATAACAAATTGTATAGACAAATCACCAAAAATCCAACAAAACACTGAAAATTCACGACAAGAATTGATGTGGGGGTAGTCACTGCGCGCGAGACAATGGTGAACTGAGGGGCAGCGGGGCAGAGGGGCGACGATCGCCGAACGACCACGCGCTAGGTCGGCTGTACGCGTATCAACAAACTCGCGTTCAAACTCGACTCCCGAAGTAACCATCGCCTTCCGAGACAAATTTTTGGAGTAAATACACCTCGCCTTCCGAAAATCTCGCATACAGGGACAATCGCATTCCGAGGTACCACTGTATCTATATTCTGTCCTGTCAGGAAACTGAGCCCAAGGATCAATCAATTACGAGAGCAGACTGTGCTCTCATATTATACCACGATAATGTCATACTCCATGTCATACAAAGGTCATGTGTTCATGTTTGCTGTTTTGTTTGAACCACTTGGGCTGGATAGTAGAGCGACGGTCTCGCTTCATGCAATTCAGTGTTCAATTCCCGACCGTCCAAGTGGTTGGGCACCAATCCTTTCCCCCGGTCCCATCCCAAATCCTTATCCTGACCTCTTCCAAGTGCTATATAGCCATAATGTCTTGGCGCTTTCCCCCCCTTTACCCCCTGTTGTCAAAAGAGTGAAATTGGAAGAAAGGGGCACTAGCTGTGTTGAAAATGGTCAAGCACACCGTTTACTTGCTCACAAACATTATCGAAAATGTGTGGCATAGTGAATAATATGCACATCACCTGTCAGTTACGTTAAGGCCAACACTGGATTGTTGACTTTGTGAAAAGACAGATTCTTGCCTAAAAAGATCGTGTTAAGTCTATCAGGATTCCTGTAACCAACAATGGTATATTGTACTCTGGTATAAGTGAAAATGCAAATGTTCTTCTGATGAAATTACTGTACAGTATATAGTATCTTGTTCTCATTGGTTTTTGTGAATGTTTTTCTCACCCAAATTCTTCACATTTATCATTCCTTTGGAGAGAAAAAATGGAGCATTTAAAAAAAATATGAAACTTGGCAGACACTCTTGTATTTCAACCCAGGGAAGTAAAGGTTAGAGGATTTTAGCCGTAGCTGACATTGGTAAGAAATATTGGCAGAAGTATTAATAAAGAAGTGACAAGGTATACCAATGGAGAGGACTGCTGGTAGAATTGGAGATGCACTAACCTTGAGTTGTGTTTTCCACTTCTTAAGGAGCTCCCTTTGTCTGGCTGCTACTGGGAGGCTGCCCCAATGAGTTTCTGTACTCTCAATCTCCTCCACCTGTAAGAGGAGCGTTCTGCTTGAATCAGTGTTAACATGAACTTCTATGCACTTCCAAAAGATTTAAATGGTTAATTGGCAACTACTATGGGAATATTTTCAGCTGTTTGATCATATATTTGATCATGGAACCCAGCACCAGACCTCCCCTTGCAGCAACTGCTGTGTTTTATAAAGATGAATGTACTAGTACATTAGATCACAGCAGCTGGCACCTATTGATGTCCAATGTTTTGCTTCTTCCTTCAAATTTTCCCTTACCATATGAATGCCATATTTAATAACCAGTGTTCCCTGATCATACTTGTATATTAAAGGCATCTACTGTCATGAAATGTTATGAAAACTAAGAAAATTTACTTCTGAGATACATAATACAAGCATTGTGATAACTGTGTGTATAAATTTTATTTTCCTTATTAAAGACTCATTCTCCATTGAGAGGTTATACTGAAATGACTGATGGGAAACATGCTTACAAAACAAAAACAACAATCGTAAAAGGCAAAAACTAGAACAATGAGCGTAATAAAATGCCTCTTTCTGGGACCATCCTTATTGGCTCCCTAGGCCAATATCGTCTCATCAGCTACGTGTGGATAATCTTACGGTTTACCGGTAGTGGAAAGGGGAGTTTATTAAATGCTAAAAAAAAAAAAAAAAAAAGTTACATGCCAAACACTGGTGATAAAGAGTCAAGGCACAAATTTCTCAGATTAATAAATAAAACCAAGAACTTTTTCAAGTTTCATAATTTTTTTAGTCGAGTCTAAAATTCTTGGTCAGGTGAATCACTATGGCGTATTTCTCCAGATTTGTTCTTGGACTCGGGATCACTGTAATTGATTCCCATCTCATCACAAGTCTCCTCTGAAACACCCTTTTTATTTCTTTTGAAATTAGCAGTTAGGAATTGTCAACCCAATGAGTGGAAAATTACTCATGTCACTCCATCTTACTCATGTTCAGAAGTTTATGCATGACAATCTTAGTAGATTCATGCACAGTACTCGCAAGATTCAGAGCTGTTGGACATATTTCCACACCTAGCATAATACAAGAGCCTCTGAGAGATATGTCTAAGATAAATAGCATTGCATTTAACATTAGAGCCATGATCTAACACGCTTCCATTATGTACTCGGAATATCATAAGGACAATACAATTTTTTAAGAAATTACAGATTACTTGGACCTTCCAGATTCAAATAAAGGAGAATCTAATGAATTATCCACATTACCCAGCTGTCTAATCCACAGCTCATGGTGCCAGGGATAGCCTATAAGCTTCATATTCTCCACCCCCCCCTCCCCCCAAAAGAACCTTGCTCTTATAATACATAGAAACCACCTACCATCTTCTGGAGGTCGCGGATGGCTCGGATGCGGCGCGTATACTTGCGCATGACTGGCAGCACTCCCAAGTGATGTGCATGAAGGGTCAGAAACCAACATTGACTATGAAAATTTACTTCTTGGAATGTAAAACTCTCTCCTGAACCTGAGAAGGAAAACAAAATAAATACAAACAACACCATGCCACTAATTTGAAAACGGTCTAGAGGAAATATTGATCAAAATATTAAAGAAGAGTAGGTAGCAATTTTTAAAGGAAATGTTATGAAAACTGAAGATATATATGATAGGAATATATTATCATGAAGAATGAAGACACATATGATGGTTAAAGGAGCAATGTACATAATGCAATAAGAGGTTAGTATGGCTGTCATTGGTAATACTGTGCAGCTACATGCATCAAATGTTCAAACGAATTTGTAAAAGGAAAACAAGGGAGATACAAAGAGTGGTAACAAAAATGAAAGATACTTGAGCCAAGTATAAGGGAAATACAGTATACTGATGCCTGTACCATACTTGCACCAAGTATGGTACAGTACAAGTATCCACCATTCACAGTTTGTAGATTACGTATGATAGAGTACAGGAATGCTGGAGAATACAAATGTGAGCATAAATAAACCAGGTGTTACAGTCTCCGTGGTGTAGTGGTAAGACACTCACCTGGCGTTCCGTGAGCGCTTTGTCATGGGTTCGTATCCTGGCCGGGGAGAATTTACTGGGCGCAATTCCTTAACTGTAGCCTCTGTTTAACTCAACAGTAAAATGGGTACTTGGTTGTAAAAACGATTCTTCGTGAGGGTCGTATTCCAGGGACTTGCCCGAAACGCTACGCGTACTAGTGGCTGTATAAGAATGTAACAATTCTTGTATATATCTCAAAAAAAAGTGCAATAGGTAGAGGGGGTGGGGAAATCTTGCTTTCTGCAGACAACTTTATAGGCTTTCATTAGTCCTTTAGGGTTGTCAAAAAGCATAGTTCCCAACATAACAAGAAGACAGCAATCCAAGGAAAGAACAAGAAAGATAAATTACAAGTTCAAGCTGTTTAAACTAACAATTTAGTTTAAAATGTAAGGAAGATGCAGGCTGGCAACAAAATGACATATGAAATGTGAGGCAGGAAAGTAGATAAGGGGGAAACTTTAGATTAGTTGGGCATAAGGAAAAGATAATGAATGATAAGGCTGCAAAGGCAATTATGTCAGAATGAGGTACAAATGGGGTGAGAATGATCAGTAAGTAACCAACATCTTGGAAAGCAAACAGAGACCACCACCACCAACATAGGATTGCATCTAAGACAACCCATCCTTCTAAAATGATGGTAATTATATCAACTATTTGGTTGATATGTACAAAGGACTGTTACAGCCAATAATGTTTGCATTTAATGCTAGAATTTTGTTGAAGGCACACAAAAGTAAGACAAAAACCAAAATTTAACATTCCTAGGCTTCGTATGCCACATATTAATACTACAGTATATTAATTTCTAGAATTTCTTGGACAGGTTGCTTAGGTTCTTTAGTTACTTTTCAAATTTTTCAGTATGTCATTTGGTCTAATTCAGACGAACATTAACATTTGAGGTCCAACAGTTCATTTCTATACATGTGAGCAAATAATTGCTAAGAGCACTGTAATTTTAGAAGGATGGGCTAACTAAAGCATACAGAAAACAGAAAAAACTAGGAGTATATTTAATTAGTGGTCAATAATGGGTATCCAGAAAGTTGGGCATAGGACAGATACCAAGAGGGATACATATTCTTTACAATCATGTGTTGAGACGTGTTTGCTACATGACACTACCACCCCAAGAGAATTTGGGCTAACGAACTTGATATAACATTGAATCAGTATTAATAACTTTGATTAAATGTTACTGGAGCATTTGTTTTTTACCTCTTGGGATACTGATATATTCAAAAAACAAATAACTGTTAGGATAACTGAAATGGGAAGGTCTTAAATACAGTACTCGGATAATTGACTGCCAATTCAGGAAAATTCAATGAGGTATTCCAACTTACGCAGCTTTTTCACCCATTCCTCCACCTCATCTTGGGTCATTGAGAGGCGGGAGTCTTTTGATACATCAACCAGTGCGTCAGGATGAACAGTGTAGTACGGATCCACTTTTTCTAATTTGACCTACAAACAGAACACACATACAGATGAGGAATCACACTAACATGACTGAAAAATGTTGACCAAACCACACACTAGAAAGTGAAGAGACGACGAAAATGGTCCAGGATGGACCGAAACGTCGTCGTCTCTTCCCTTTCTAGTGTGTGGTTTGGTCAACAGAACACAATTAATGTGGCAACTTCCTCTGAGATTTATTAAAAGTAAATATCTGTTATCACTAAACATCAGGGGCATAACTAGTCTACTTCTCTCAGTGTTTAAAAGGGAACTTGTTAGCATCTCCACCAAATGATACCCAATCAACCGGGTTGTAATTCACATGTCAGTCTGCAAGTAACAGCATCTAACAGCCTGCTCGATCAGACCACCAACCAGGAAACCTGGTCAAAGACTGGGCCGCATGGACATCGATTCTCAGAACCTTCTCAAAATAAGGTAAGTTTACCAATAACCAACAAGAATTTTTGACAAAACTTCATATACTGTTTTATCCTTTAATAAACTCATTAACAAAATAACCATCTACAGTATTTTATAACAAAATTAACTTTTTTGCTATAACAACTTATAACCGGCTTTATAACAGAATACCACCTATTTTGGAACATTTATAAACAATAATAGCACTTGATCGAGTTTAATGAACATTAATAATGAATTTACATCAATAGCCAATTCCCCACCATTTTTTTTTAAATCAAAAGAAATGCTAGATATATGCGAGTCTATGGAAGGGCAACACAATCCTTTATAATGCCCCTTAATTGCTTCACTTCAAGTGCAAAAGTAAACACGAGTGACCAGCCCCATCAAAACTGGGAGTCAAATGTCCGACATATTTGACGTATTCAATAGCATGATCTAAATATTCACAGTAGAGCAATACACCAAAACTAGACTGTACAACACTAGACTGTACAACACTATTAGAGAGAACAAGACACAAATCATTGACCAAAGGCATAAATCCTCAATAAAAATGTACAAGTTAAAAGTATCAGTGACCTTTTTTTTTCCTGATGCACTCAATCGTAAAGACCAGCAGTGAGGTAGCTACATGTTAAAGCTATTATTACAGTACAGGTATCTGTACTATTATACATTTTTACCTAACACGCTGTGCACCATAACTAGTACCACCCTGAAGCACTCAACCTGTCCTCGCACTGAGTACAATACATTTTCTATGCTGTCAACCCCACCGTAAAAATGGCAGTGGTTTAGGGAAATTAAACTTGCCGCAATATTGGTGTAACGGGCCTAATGATTATCACTTCTGGTAAGTTAGGCGAGTTGCTAAGGTTCTGACACTTCTGGTTAGGCACAACTGCTGAATTTTTTATGGCATGGCAACTGAGAGAATGGGCTAGTTCATCCTGCCTGGCTACTGCTTTAAACTCATGTTTCTAAGTACAGGAATGAATTTTACGATGACCCTGCCTGCACTAGGAGAGACGGGTAATAAATGCAATGAAGTTTTTAACAAATTTTCTTGTATGTAACAGGATGATATAAAAAATCAAAGGTTGACAGATGAGACAACTAAAAGTGAATGTGGCCAATACAAAACAGTATTAGTAAGCAAGAAAACACACTCATCCTTTATCAGCAGTAATGTGGAGAAGTGATAACAAATTCTTCAATGATGTACTGTACTACTAAGAATACTGTATATCTTACCTTAAAACAGAGCTGCTGCAGCACTGACAGCAAATTAATCATGGGCCCATCTCCAGCCACCAGACGTTCTTCTACATGAATCTGGGCACGGCGCTCATTGAAACGTATTATCTTGGCAAGGAACGAGAGCACTGGTTCCCGGGAATTTGTATTTACCAACATACTATGGAAGAGCTTGTGGAGTATTGACTGCCGAATAAAAAATTATTTTAATAACTTAATATCAAACTAAAATTATAAATAAGAATAAGGTGTTCAAGGAAATGTAAATTATTGTTAGACAAGAGCAATAAAGAAATAAGCAAATATATATACTCTGTTGATCATATTGTTATGCTCCTTTCTAAGCCAGATCCTCAGTTGCTTCCCAAGCTGGTACTTTTAGGGTTCATCCTTAATAATAACCAATCTTAATAACCACCAGGCACTCGTAACTTTTTACCTCATCAATACAGGTATCTTTAAAAGTGTACCAGTCATATAAAACTAGGAATGAGAGCGAGTTGCACAAGCCCGGACAAAGAAACCCGACCCAGCCACCAAGCAATTTAAGGATATTGAAATTAGTACAGTAATAACAGTACACCAACCACGAGGAACCAGCCGTCCAAAGACTGGATATGACCCAGTCATGATTTGAAGACAGAACTGCCAAAGGAGACAATCTCTCAAAAACCAGAAGGTAACACTTGCAGATGGGCCCAAAACATCCATCCAAATCAAGAGAAACAGTGGCAGTGGATACAACTAAAGAGGCACAAGGACACACAATGAGGCCCATCCAAAGGAACAGAAACCAAATCAAGGCAGTCTGTAGAAGCAAACAGGGGGTGCAAGAATCCTGAATTGAGAAAGAACCTCAAGAGAACCAAGGAGTCAAATTCTTGGAACTGACTGGAGTAATGACTCAGCCTAAGGACTCTCAGCCAAGTCACACCCAAACTTGCCAACATCAGTAAAAGTAAAGAGTGGATAAAAAACTAACGTTGAATGTAATGAAATTCCATTTTCTGGGGAAGCTTCAGAGGCTCCCTGAAGTTTTTTTTTCAGGGATATTCCTGTGCGGGCCCTAAGCTTCTGGCTGGACCACTTGTTTCGGTTTTACTTGGGCGGAATATGAGTATTTATGATTCGTATGGTTGCTTCAGCGAGACCCATGATGTGTCCCTGAAGCTACTGGACTGATATTAGCTATATTAGTCTGGAAGGAACAAGGACACCCCACAAGGAAAACCAACTCTAGGAACCAGAGGGACACAATGGGAATGGAAAAAGGGTACTAAGACAGAAAAAGATAATATCACCAAACCGATGAAGGAAAATATATAGCACTTCAGAAATGCGTCTATACTGTACAGGGGCATAACCCAAGTGTGGACTGGTCTGTACAAAACATGAGACGACATACTGGGCATAAAAGCAATGACAACTTGGTATGTGGCCCATACTTTGAAGAGCATTGTCCTAAGGTATTCCTTGGGTGAGATACCTAATTACAAATTTTGGTTGGATTATACATAAAAGTACTGCACTAAAATAATACAGTATACTAATTTCTACCAAAGCAACAAAAGGTTAACAGTTACTCACAGTACGCATGTGATCCAACTCTCTTGCCAGATCTTGCAAACCATCAGGTACTGTTCTTCCATTACTCTGGTGCTTGACAAATTTGTCTACCACATGGGGATCATCCTCAGCAAAGACGGAGAGCCCAAGGAAGGGCCCGAGAAGAGTTGCAAAAAGAATCTCCCGACCAACTGTTTGAGATTCACTCTTGGTGCACCAATTACTCTGCAGGAAGTAAAACCATTATATCATCATTGTCATTGTTAAGAAGCAAAATTTTAAATAAGGTTGCAAGAATTTTATAGCCATACTGATTTTTGTTGGATTTCTATCAACAGTATTACAATGTGCAGTTAAGATGACTCCTACTTATGACATTTATTGCACTTAGAAAATACGGTTAAAAAGTGGATAAATTATCAATCAGCTTGAGTTAGAGGAATTGGTTTTAGTGAAAATCTGACAACCATTATTCTAGTATGAATATACAGTACATGATAAAAGAGAAGGAGAAGGGGGTATATTTTGCCATCATTATCCTCGTTAAGCACAAGCAATCTCACATCGTGTGCGGCATCAAAACATGCCTCGGTGGCATAGCTAGAGTGCATGGAAGGTTTACTTTGATTTCTATAGCTGGTAATTACAGTATAATTAAAAAAAAAAAAAAAAAGTTGGCTGTGAGATGGAGGACTGATAATGCTCAGTGTTGAAAAGTCACACAGGTTTTCTCCTTTAAATATTTGTATTACGTATATTACAATATTTTATTTACCCACTCCAGAATTTTTGTAATGTTATATATATAGTTTTACAATATTATTCATAACGTGTGCCAGAATAACTTTCCAGTTGAGGGAATTAAATGACGGCTTAATTCAGCCATTAGTCAGGGGGCGGGGAAGGTAACGCTAACAAGTGGCAGTGCTGGCTGCATCAAGTGTTGCTTCTTGGGTTTCTTTCTAGGGGAGTTATTTTGATCTTTTCAGATGTAGATTGCACAGGTTAACCAGACAGTGGTCCGTTTGGATTTGCCTACCTTTCTGGGTCCTTTCCTGGTCGATGGCAATTATGACATGCTTTAAATGTACAGTGCTCATAGGCCATTGCTCCCTGCACCTCTCTGAAAGGGCCAGGTTCTGGCTTGTGGTCCCCAGTAGGCATAAGGACTCCTGTGACTGATGACCACAAACTACAGTAATATAGCACGTATCAGTTCCGATAACTTTAGGAAGCTGACGGGGCTCCACACAGAAAAGGTAGTCGAGTCATCTTCAACCAACACTTATAATTAGTCATAGGAAATTTTGCATAACGTAGCACCTGATGACCAAAATTAAAGTAGTGAGCCACAAAACCTAATCCTCCCTACCTGCAAGTACATATAAACATAACAGGAATAACACTCACCACAGACACCATTAGATTACAAATTGGGCGGGTTGATGAATTGTTGACCTTAATATCAGTTAGCAGATCCAGTGACTCAAACACTTTCATGTACGTGCGAGATGTGACACTACAGCTCCTCATGGCTGAGCTTAATCCCTGAAGAAGTAGGCTAAATACCTAAAGAGATATGTATTTATGTTAGACAAAAGAATCCTTAATGATAATGATAATAATAATGCTGTAATAATAATAAAGTAAATAAGTAAAAATTAGCAGAACAACTATAGTGGGAAATGAAATGTTAACATCTGAGAAATTTTGACTTATTCAAGCCTTCACCAGAGCTGAACTGAGGGAGACAAGTGTAGAAGAGCAGTATAAGATGGAGGAGTGTGAAACCAGAAGCTGTGTGGTACACAACCCATCAATGGAGGCTGCCATCGTCACTTGGTAAACATTCGACTTGCCGACAAAAGAAGAAATTAAGGCAGGGAATAGAGCATGAGAACAAGATACAGGTGGAAGAGACAACACATTTATGTATATAAAGACCATTCCCCAATTTCAAACGAGTTACGTTCCGAAACTGTGTTTATAAAACATTTGTTCGGAATGCGGATCGAGATTTTCCAAAGACGCAATGCTTTAAGTGGGAGATGCATTCCCGGGCCACCAAAAATTGTCACAGAACCAATATTTTTTTGGACATATAATATAAAAAAAACACAACATTATTAACTTTGAATGATGGAGTTATCCTGCTTGGTAAAGTTATCTGTTTTTGGAGTAAAGTGGTATAATTACATGAATAAATAAATGAAAATATATTTGCACTGTATTGGTGGTCTGCCATTTTGTAATTTGCCTTACAAGTAAACGCCTCCCCATCCTCCTATCTCCATCCCAGAGCCCAATACAGCCAACAGAGTAAACGGATCAAATCGTGTGTGTGGGGGGAGGGTGTCATTGGGGACTTGAGGCCACTGGTGGGAGTGTATCACATACCCAGTCACCCACTCACACAAACCTTCACCCCCATGACCCCCAACCACCCCATCCAGACATATGAAACAAGTATACCAGTGTACAGCAAACGAATCTATTGAGGGGGCCGTCCCAAAAATCTAGCAAATCCAACAGATTCAAGTTTCAAATATTCCACATAGGCCAAACCGCCAGTAGTTTCCAAACGTTATATAACAAAGAGAGCTGGGAAGATGGGACACCACGAGCGTAGCTCTCATCCTAGAACTACACTTAGATAATTATAGGAAGTGTCCCGGGTATCTGTTAGTCTTTACTCATGTGGCAGCAGCTGTGGGGGTGGGGGCAGAGTTCTAGGTGAGCATATATTTGGCCATTGTGTAGTTCTTGGAGCTTCAGCTGGGAAAGTTTTAGCACACTATACTGTACTTAATCCTTCATCTTTCTAACCTTGCCATATTTTCTCAGAGTTTATGAATGTTAGAACTATCTTAGATATATACTACATAGCAAGCATACTTCAAAGATGACTGTACATTTTGCAAGGACCATATTTATGATAGTACTACCGTACATTCATTTTTGAGAATTTACATTTAGTTGTCTGATGAAAACGAGAATATCATCAATGTACAATATTTATCTATTTACAGTACTGTTCCAAAGTAAAAATGCAGAATTAAACTAATTTTATTAACAGCTTGATATATATATTTTAGATTTCATGAAGCTCTAACAGAAAAAAGTCATCTTGAATAAAGTTTACTCTTCACATAGCAGTTGTCAACAATTTCCAGACAAACCACAAATGAGAAACGTGTTAGTCATGGAATCCCGTGATCTGAAAACAGTAAGGATAATTATACCTATATATTGATAGTGACTAACTCCACTATGTATCAAAGATCTAACAAAACTTGAAAACAAATTAATAAAGAGGCTTACAAGCTGGTTTATATGTAACTTATGTAGAACATTCCCTAATACCTTTCTCATCTCATAAAACTAGCACACCGGAATGATTGTTGGGTGAGAAAAGATAATTTTCCACATACATTGCCATTCATACAATGGCACTTCCAAATACAGTATCTAAACTCATATAAGATTAAAAACACACATAATATGGGTATATAATACACAAAATACAAAAAAAATTCTTATTGAGTGATTAAAATTCAAAGCAAATAAAACGTTGAGCTAAACAACTTTTGATAGCAAATGAGAACCATTCAATATCTTCTGTTGATATTTATACAACACTCCATTATCCTTTCTGCCTCCTTCAAAATAAATAAATTCAAATTCAATATTCACAAAGTACCAATGGTGATAATGCTAACACAGCTGAACCAAAGGCAAAGTAATCATAAACAAGCAGTGACAAACCTTTGTGAACATATTCTCATGTTCTAGAGTGTGATGAATAAGATCACAGAGGAAGCCTCGAGGCAGGGACTCTGTTAGCAGAGGGTGGAGTAGCAGCGATGGGGCCGGAAGATCACATTTTGTTAGACAACCTGAAAATGCCACAAAAAATTTAAATTGCAAAACTACACACAATATAAAAACCTACATAAGTTTCACATTTAATTATAAAGTTTAAATACACAAAGTCCATATGAATACAGCATACCTATAAAATACTATATGAAGATGAGAATGTTGCTAGTGAAGGATCTCATCACTAACCTGAGAGGAGCAAGCTGGCGTGAGCTACACACTGACGTCTCACGTCTGCCAGTAAAGTCGACGTGGGTGGAGAGCTGCTTCTCTGTACACAAGTGTATAGTAATGGACGTTAAACCATTTCAATTACAACCTTACACCCACTTGTGCATTATTATATTAAATTTCTCAATAGCATTTGCATTTAGTTTTTCCTCTTAACAAAATTCATCAACAATATTGTAAAACAAATTCATCAACAATATTGTAAAACAAATTCATCAACAATAATTGTCATTCAAGAACAAATAAATAATAAAACTAATAAACATTTATTGTCATAATGATACAAATATTACCCAATCCAAACCTTTGCTATATTGCAGGTATTTAATTCACTTACTCAATCTTCTTACCTCTTTTTGTTTCTTTGTTACCAACTTGCAAAATATGCTCTAGTAATAAAAAATGTCAAAAATATTTCAGAGTTCGTAATTCTGTAATACATTCATACATAGAAGTGCCAGCAGTGCACAGTATATCTTTTTGTTATTAAACACACCTAATCCATTGTCTTTCTACTTCAGTACATCAATAACTCTGATGACAGACCCCTTCCCAGCAGCTCCCCATTAGGGTAAGCAATTGAAACTGAAGTTTTTCCAGGTGGAAAAATCACCACACAAACCTTTCACATCAGGAGCCACTATGCACTATCACCATACAAACCTTTCACTTCAGGAGGCCCTGTCACCATACAAACCTTTCACACCAGGAGGCCCTGTCACCATACAAACCTTTCACACCAGGAGGCCCTGTCACCATACAAACCTTTCACACCAGGAGGCCCTTTCACCACACAAACCTTTCACACCAGGAGGCACTATCACCATACAAACCTTTCACACCAGGAGGCCCTATCACCATACAAACCTTTCACACCAGGAGGCACTATCACCATACAAACCTTTCACACCAGGAGGCACTATCACCATACAAACCTTTCACACCAGGAGGCCCTATCACCACACAAACCTTTCACACCAGGAGGCCCTATCACCACACAAACCTTTCACACCAGGAGGCACTATCACCACTCAAACCTTTCACACCAGGTGGCACTACCACCACACAAACCTTTCACACCAGGAGGCCCTGGTGTCTTGCCACTCTGTAGGGATTTATCAATTTCACAACATCTCTATCTATTCACAAACACTATAACCCTAAATTTTCTTACACTGACCTTCAACTATCTTCTGCACAATTAAATTTATTCACACTCTTTTTGCAATATCTTCTTACTTTCAGCCAAGAACACTGTCGTCTCCCCACTGAGTTGGCCACATTTCCATTCACCTGAAGGCACTGTTCCCCTAGCAGTAAATATAGGTACCCGATTGTCAAACAATTGCAGTTGCATTCTGGGGAAAGGTCAATCTTCGGCCTAAGGAGACCTTGATAAGCCTAACAAGACTTCCAGTCCCCGATCTATATGAAACATTTTGTATCAATACATATACTGTATACCTATAGTGTATCTGAAGTGGGTTCTGAGAATATAATTAATAAAACTCCAAGTGCTCAGCCCTACTAATTCACCTCTGCCTCAATGTATACTTGAGTATAGACTTATGCTCAAAGAATGTATTAGAACTGGCCTACCTTGGGATGTGCTTTCTCTTCATTATTAACCCGTGCGTACGTCTGGAGGAGATACATGAGAGCTAAAGCTTCTGGCCGCTGGCTCGGTCTTGTTATTTCTGATAAATCAGTTGTGTTGCTACTTCCTGAAACACACACACACACACACATCTAGTCACATCATCACAACAAACATGTGACTATAATAATTACACAAATTTCTATAGAAAGCATTATCAATTTGATCTAGAATATTCAAAATCATATACAGTATTAACTAGGAGTTAATTGTCTAATTATTATTAACTTGAATCTTTATTAACATACCTAAATTAATAGTAATGACAAAGGTCTTACGAACATATTACCAGGACAAAAGATAATGAATATACTGTATTGCCTAAAAGAATCCTAAAATACATCAATTCTCTAACCATTCAAGAAACTATAAATACCAGTTTTCACAGCAAACATAAGAAAATAACTTAAGGTGCCTTCAGACACAAAGGCATGATTACAACGTGTGCAAATCAGTTTCCAACAACAACAACTTAGATATGAAGTAAAGAGCCATATCAGGGCTCATCCAACAAAAGAATAATGCATGCTGACCTTAAAGCTAACATACTGGAGACTACAATTTAAAAAAATTTGGGTCCCCTTGAGCAACAAACTTTAGCCATTAGAACATGTTAATAATATATTGTAGCAAGGAAGGTATCATTTTGACCCTGTAGGGTTAGTCTGAGAAGCTACTTGACCATAAACAATACTTTCTGTTGAATCCCGTGTAACTTACTTTAGAGAGCAGAAATATCAGATAATTCAGAAATGTTAACACAGTCTACTAAAGTAAGACAGAACTATTGTATATAAAGATGTTACTACCTGTAGGGGAAGCACTAAGCTCTGGTGACTGAGAGAGGTTGATGTTGGGGTCTACCAGACCCTCCGGTGCCTCACCCCCACACAGCTGTAGCAACACTTCCATCAGCACCTGAGAGGTCACTTCACTCATTTTTGCTCCAACAGTTACCTGTTTATAAGAAGATATTTAAAAACAATAACACAGATGGTTTACCAATTAATTAACTATTAGACTCATTGCTTGATAAGACATTTTTGACAAGGTGAAGCCTTTTCAAACAGATTGGAGTACAGAATCTAAAATACAAGCACACCCAGGCAGGAACATCCACCTGTGTTATGCAACATAATGGTGAAATCAACACCCAGTCTGACAAAAAGATCAAGCTGTGTCATTAACTTAGAAACCAAGCAGGAAACAGGAACCTGGGATAAACAGTAGCTTGACTCAGGATAAACCAAAGGCAAGGGTATCCCAAAGATATAAATCCATAGAAAGAAGTGTTACCATGACAACCAAGAGCAGTCGGCAGCAGACACACAATGCTAAGCATCAAGACTAAATGAAGACTGGAGGATAAAACTAGAGACCAGCTCATGAATCTCTCCAGCTATGCAATACAGATTGGCAGAGATTGACAGCAACTTGCCATCTGTAAGCCAGAAAGACAACAGACTATCTTATGAAGGAAAACAGACATAAAGGCACAAGACCAGAGAGCCATGTCAACCTGGCCAACATCCAGATCTTAAACTTCCAGAAGTAGTAACTAACAACCACTGCCATACTATTAAAACACAGTACTTCTGTTGCAGGAAATGGAGGACGAAGATTAATAAGCCTTTATGCAAGTGTACACGAGCCTAAAATGAACAACACAGTTCTGGAAGAAATAAGCACAAAGCAGGTAGTCATCCCTCCTCCCAAACTACCAACAGTATAATGGGACCAGAGGCAACTGAACACCTTGTTTAAATGTGATGCTTGGCTAAAGTTTTGGTAAAACCCAAGACAAAGCTAGAACGTCAGTCATGCTGAATGAACAGGCCCAGGAAAAAATCCCCACTGAGATTGCAATGTGGCAATCGTGGCTTAAAATTAAAAACCCCAGATGAGAATACTGATGGATAGATTTGAACCCTCCAGGTAAGTCAGGCAGACAATCATCAACGAGAGGTGGAATTCATGAGAATAACATACGAGGACAATGAGCAAGAAGGCCCAGGAACCAGGGCTGAACCTTCAACAAAGGAGCCAGTAAAATTACATGCCTACAAAGGTTTCCAATCTGACCAACACAGAGGAACTGGAAGGAGAGAAAAAGTAATTTCCATTAATTCAAATTAAATTTAAAAGCTTTTAACATAAGCACTCTGATAAAAAAAAGGGAGGAAAATATGAAGAGGAAACCACAGTTTCCATGCTGAAGTGAAGAGATGCACCTGAGGACAGCCACATGCCTCACAAACCCAAAAGGAGAGTTGCTGTTTGCCTCCCATTCTATAGAATTTGGACAGTCCCAGAAGAGGGCCATAAATAACATTGTACACTCCCTGATGTGAATCACACTGAGAACTAAACCAAAAGAATCAAGAAATAAGGCTACCTGGAGAATCCAGTGAATGGGACTCCTCTGTTAAGAGAGTGAACCAGCATGTAGTCCAAGTGAAAACTGATTGCAGAGTCCTGCAGGAGTGGGATGCAAAGAAATGCCATCCAAACTGCAGCAAAATTCTTCACCTGTACATGGGTGAATCACAGGTGAGCGAACTAAAAACCCTGGCTAGTATGATGACAGCTGGAGATAAACCTTCAGCAGACTTGGTAGTTTGCACAGTTAACAACTAAGGAGGACAGGGGAGGATACCATAGAATTAAACCCCTAAAAGCCTGAAGAGGATAATGAATCAAAATCCTCTATAAGGTCTGAGTTCCTGCACTATCCAGAATGGCTTCTTCTTATATCAATTAAAAGGCTGTTCACTAAACTTTCCAATTTATTTCCTTTTGTATAAGCAACAGTTAACTGCATTGCAATATAGTTCATTACAATTGTATCAATGAGCATTAATCCACTTACTTTATGCTGCATTTCACAAAAAAAAGCTTGACAATTATTACCCGATTATTATAAAATTTGAAAATTCACTTTTTAAACTTGACAAATCTCACCTGGACAGTGACTGGACAGATATTGTCAACACCTGGCCAAGAACACTGGAGAAGACTGGATAACATTGCCCACAACATCTCGTCGGTCACCTCACTTGTGCTTACACTCTGTCAGAGTATTTAATTACATGAAACAATTAGATATATAAACTATACAAAAATATAACAAATTTAACACTAGAAATATGTCCAATGGATGAGAAACTTCATTCACTAATCATCAATTGTTCAATGTAATGAAACACCTTGGTTTTGGAAATCCTGAAATCAATCACCCCTGGAAATCTGGTTATACTCAGTAGCTGCCCCGGTGCATTGGCTCTGGTACCACAGAGATATGAACACCTTCCAGGTCACTAGACTTGAACAGCCATAACAACCCCACAACAGTAATACTAGTTAGTACTAGTAGTAGTTAGTAGTAAATACTAGTTAGTACTAGTAGTAGTTAGTAGTACTAGAAGAAGTATTAGTTAGTAGTACTAGTAGAAGTACTAGTAGTTAGTAGTACTAGAAGTACTAGTAGTTAGTACTAGTAGTAGTTAGTACTAGTAGTTAGTAATAGTACTAGAAGTACTAGTAGTTAGTAGTACTAGTAGTTAGTAGTACTAGTAGTTAGTACTAGTAGTAGTTAGTACTAGTAGTTAGTAATAGTACTAGTTAATAGTAGTTAGTAATAGTACTAGTTAATAGTAGTTAGTAGTACTAATAGTTAGTACTAGTAGTAGCTAGTACTAGTAGTTAGTAATAGTACTAGTAGAAGTACTAGTAGTTAGTAGTACTAGTAGTTAGTAGTACTAGTAGTTAGTACTAGTAGTAGTTAGTACTAGTAGTTAGTAATAGTACTAGTTAATAGTAGTTAGTAATAGTACTAGTTAATAGTAGTTAGTAGTACTAATAGTTAGTACTAGTAGTAGTTAGTACTAGTTAGTAATAGTACTAGTTAATAGTAGTTAGTAATAGTACTAGTTAATAGTTAGTAGTACTAGTAGTTAATAGTAGTAGTACTAGTAGTTAATAGTAGAAATTAGTACTAGTAGTTAGTAGTTAGAACTAGTTAGTACTAGTAGTTAATAGTAGTTAGTAATAGTAGTAGTGAGTAGTTAGTAGTAGTAGTTAGTAGTAGTAGTAGTAGTAGTAGTAGTAGTAGTAGTAGTAGTAGTAGTAGTAGTAGTTAGTAGTAGTAGTTAGTAGTAGTAGTAGTAGTAGTAGTAGTAGTAGTTAGTAGTAGTAGTTAGTAGTAGAAGTTAGTAGTAGTAGTTAGTAGTAGTAGTTAGTAGAAGTTAGTAGTAGTCATAGTAGTTAGTAGTTGTAGTAGTTAGTAGTAGTCGTATTTAGTAGTAGTAGTAGTAAATAGTAGTTAGTAGTAGTAGTAGTAAATAGTAGTTAGTAGTAGTAGTAGTTAGCAGTAGTAGTTAGTAGTCGTAGTAGTTAGTAGTACTGTAGTAGTTAGTAGTACTGTAGTAGTTAGTAGTACTGTAGTAGTAGTAGTAGTTAGTAGTAGTAGTAGTTAGTAGTAGTAGTAGTAGTTAGTAGTAGTAGTAATAGTATTTAGTAGTAGTAGTAATAGTAGTTAGTAGTAGTAGTAATAGTAGTTAGTAGTAGTAGTAATAGTAGTTAGTAGTAGCAATAGTAGTTAGTAGTAGTAGTAATAGTAGTAGTAGTAATAGTAGTTAGTAGTAGTAGTAATAGTAGTTAGTAGTAGTAGTAATAGTAGTAGTAGTAATAGTAGTAGTAGTAATAGTAGTTAGTAGTAGTAGTAATAGTAGTTAGTAGTAGTAGTAATAGTAGTAGTAGTAATAGTAGTAGTAGTAATAGCAGTTAGTAGTAGTAGTAATAGTAGTAGTAGTAATAGCAGTTAGTAGTAGTAGTAATAGCAGTTAGTAGTAGTAGTAATAGTAGTTAGTAGTAGTAATAGTAGTACAAAATATCTGGGTAGATATTTTGTGATAACTGGGTAGTAAAAATAAACTAATGTACACATCTTAAAGTAGAGAGAAATGGTGAAAAGGGAAGCATTATTTTGCATGTCAACAAGCCATATGCTAGTTTTGAACTCCAACAATGCTTCAAGTGCTACAAGTTCTCCCACCCCAACAACAAGTGTCAGTACCCCATCCAGAATTGCAGCCTCTGCACTCAGGACCATCATTACTCCATCTGCAAATCAACAACCCATTGCTGCCTGCTTTGCAACAGCGATCACCCAGCAATTTCATACCGCTGCCCCCGCAGACAGGGAAAATATCAAGGCCAAGGTCAAAGCCAACAAAGCCATCCCTACTAACTCCACAACCACAGCCCCAGGCGCTAAACCCAGCACCTCGACTCCCACCAACCAACCAGCAGAATTCCCAGTCCTACCAAACAGTGGCTCCTTCCACCAGGTGACCCAGCCTTCACACTTGGGACTCAAGGCCCAACCAACATCCTCACAGCCCCTTGCATCACGTTCAGCCTTTATCCCTGGTCTTATTCGACTTGCGGAGAGGCTTACCGGACCAGACAACCACCGATTCATCAAGGAACTGAATGTGTTTTGCCTAGCCAATAGCCAGGACACCCAATGCAAGTCTCACTACCTCCCTGACAACATCACAAAGATGACCACTAGGTCGATCTCAACTCAGACTCCAGCACCACCCAACATGCAAGCTGCACAAACAGCAACATCTTCCACTCCAGCCCCCAAAGCTCTTACCATCACCATACCAGAAGATGTGCTCACAGAAGTGCTATCTATGACCACACAACACACCACCACCACCGATGCGACTGAACCAGCTTCTACCACCACCACTCATCGACTCCAGAGCCAACCTCAGGCTGTGAAACCAAAGTCAAAACCACCAACTACGGACTACGCCTCAGACCTCTCAGACGAGGAAATCTCAGTAGGGGTTCCATCACTACTGCACACATGCAAAATCTACAATGCCCAAGACTTCCTCATGGAGGTCACCTCACTGAACTCCAATGACAGCACGACCATGTCAACTCGCAGAAAGAATTAAAGAAAAAATGGAAGATTAGAGGCTTTCACTAACCTACCAGCTCTATAACGGTAACAAAGCCCCCTCCCCCCTCATGGGGCTTTGGACAGTACATCGATTCCACGACAACTACCCAAAAATCCTTGGCTTGGCCTGCTGCTGGGTTAAGCCCAGGCTCTATTCCTTTTGACTACGAAGCTTCCTCTCCAGACTATTCTTCTGTCAGTTCCCACTTCCTGCTCCCCCTTTACAATTGATTGATTGATTGAGATAGTTTTGCCAAGGAATCCTCACTTGATCCCAGGTTATCCCACACTAAAACCTCAAACTGGAGAAACCCCAAACTAAGGTCGTTTAGGAGTTTTTGTCAGAGGTGGAGGGAGAAAACATGACTGGATGCTAGTCAAATAAGATCAAATTTACCCTATAGGCTGCTGCCCTGGAAGGTGGTTCAGGTTCACTCCTATCTCCGTCGCTGCCACAGACGGAGATAGGTGAGAACTTGCTAGAACTGCGGCTACCACAAGACTGATTTCCAGCTTGTCATAGCCTTTACCATTCCACCCAGCATCCCAAGGAAGGCATAATCCAATTAACTGTAAATCTCCTTGTTCTCAAAAACTAGAGGTCACAGTTTGACACCTCTTGGCTGGTACATTCGTTTGGGTGGACTACATCTGCCTTAATAATTTTGACCTTACCTCAAAGCATGACCACAGTCTGAATACTAACATGTACTTTCAACCCTCATTTGTTAAGTGTTGAAGTGCTTGATTCACTAGCTAATATTCATTCCCAACTTGTGGATTACAACATTACTGATGATGACATTTTACCTGTAAATGTTTATGAAATCTAACACAGAATTAGCTACCTATAAAGGCACAAAAATTAATTGTAGATAAAGTGGGAGGGGCGAGGCAAAGAATGGTACAACGTAACATAACAACAATGCCTATAGTACATGTCATGCACACGGAAAATCCTACGTTGTTAATTTGTAATATATTCCATATAAACATGGTCAAACAAAAACTGCATGACATGGTAAGCCTAAGAGGAACGCCAATGAACACTCACTTACCCTGTGTCTTTTGTTATCACTGCGATAGTGGGGACTATTTTCCAGGTCACTACTAAACTCAACTTTACTCTCCACCTCCATGGGCTCAATGCCTGCAATAAAATTAAACATTAACCATGCAATACATTTTGGAGCTAGGATTATTTTCAAATCATATTTTTAACAAGCTAATATGTGTGAAACATTGGGGCAGGTTGTGATAAAACAAGACTCAAAAATATTTGAGAAATACTTTAGTCATGTGAGAAGAGGATTGCTGATTGTGTAGCAGGACGAGTGTATGGGATCAAGGAACAAGGGGTCTTGGCAGTAGGAAGATAATCAGCATCCTGGGAGTGACAAAAGAGAGCAAAAGTAGAAACTGGAAAGATGCTCATAAAGCTGTCATAAGGAAATATTGTGCTTAAATAGTGACTTTATATATACAAATACTGTACATACCAAATAACCTCTGTAATTTGATCGAATGTATATCATAAATAAAATATTATTATAGAAACCAAATTTCAAGTGGGTATGATAGGTTTTGTGTGGTGTTCACTCGTGTATATACAGTATGAATGTGTCGGGTATGTCAGCTATACAGCGAGTGAATTGAGATTTTTTAATTGAACTGACGAGTGTGGCTTGCCTACCTTTTTTACATGGTGTAACATCAAGCGGCGAGGGTGGTGGCTGTCTCTTGGAGGGTGATGGCAAGAGAGAAGACACAGGAGGAGAAGTAGATAATTGAAGTCCCTGCCAGAGAAATTCGCATATACAGTATTTTGATTTACCAGACTAGTAGTTCAGTCCTGGAGTGAAACAGCAACAAGTCAATGCTTAGTAAATGAACCCCCTTTCCCCCCTAGTGTACACAGGTACATTACTGAGTTAATAAAAATATATATGTATGTATATACATACATATATACTGTACATACATAGAATTGTCTGCACATTCTTGCAGCACCCATGGTGAAACTCCATCAGATCCAACTGCTTTATTTTGGAATTGGCATTGGGTCTGGCTCTCTGAAGCCAGACCCAACATTTAAGTTTGTTTTTAGCTTCAATTTTGGTGACTCTATAAGGTGAATAGTACAAAATTCTGTAATTGCTTAGTATGTCAATGTTTGTACTATGGTGCACATAGTTACAAAAAGCACTAATAAAATAAATCTAATAAAATGTTTAGTACCAAAAAAATTTAAAATAATTAGGATTCAGATTTTTACATGTTGATTTACAGTTGAGAGGCGGGACCAAAGAGCCAAAGCTCAACCCCCGCAAGCCCAATTGGGTGCGTACTCTCTAAACAGGAGGAGGGGTTGTAGACTGGATAGTAGACCAACAGTCCTGCTTCTTGTAGGCAAGAGTTCAATCCCCGACCATCCAAGTGGTTGGGCACCATTCCGTCCCTTTATCCTGTTCAAATCCTTATCCTCATTCCTCCCAAGTGAATGCTTAATAAATGATACTCAAAATGGCTTGGCACTTTCTTCTGATAATTTCCTTACCTTAACCTGCACTGTCACTTTAAGGTCTTTTTTGCATAGTTGCAAGATACAATCATAGGAAAACTTTATGAAAAAGGTAATTAAATGTTCCTAGTACAAATCCAAGCTATTAATAAGTAATAACCAGTAATGGAATCAAGTGTTATTATATATGTACTATCAGAATTATACACAGCTAATGCAGTCTGCTGCTGAGAAAACATTATATTTAATCACTCAAACAATATTACTATTGCTCTCAACCAAAAAAATATGGAATGTGCCATTCTTTTCCAAAGCACAAGAGAAAATACCTCACCTAAACCATTTTGCAAGAACCTAATGCAAGACTTTAAAAACTTCAATAATATTGTAATTCCAAGCATTTTCTTCCTTCAGGAAAAATCCTCTACATTACTCAGAACCAATATCCACATTTACCGGGGACTGAGGAACGTGTATTTGGGATGTTTCGCCATTATTGCTGTTGTTACTAGAGCCTGCCCCAAGCCGAGCCAACCTCTTCTTTCGAATCTGAAAGACAAAATATATGTTAGTGACAGCCCTAGCCTATAGATAACAAGCTCTATTGTACTTGCAATAAGAAACTTTTGAGTTTCCATTACCTAACAAGAAAAACAAACAATCCTGTTAAGTCACGCAATTCATGGCTAATGTACAAACTTTATAAGGTATCACATTCGAACACTATTATTACTTACAAACTTACTGGAGAGACTTGTCAACACTGTTTAGGAAAAATACTCATTAAAATTTTAAGCTGGTAAAATTTCAACCAAAAACACTCATATTGTATACCATTACAGTAAATCATTACTGTATCCTAAAATGTTTAGTACCAAAAAAATTGTGAAATTATTAGGATTCAGATTTTTACCTTATTTTACACAAAAGTATTTTTAATGTTAGCTTATGGGACATGACATTTCTTTTTTTTTCCAAAAAATCAAATACACTGTACCGTACTTGTAACTAACTATTCCATTTCGTTTATAACAAAATGGCATATATAATATATATATTCCATTTTGGAATATATATACAGGGCTAGCATCATTTTTTTTTTATGCACAGACTTTAGGCATATGGCAGACATCTTGCTTAGTTGACAATAAAGAATAATTTAGTAATTAATTTTGTTGGGGAGATGAAGCCTGTATGCATGTATGTATGCCTGTTGGGTAAATCAGACCTTGCATACTAGGCCACGTTGTGCAGTTCTAGCTATTAAGCATGACATACATACACACAGATACATATACATGCAAATGCATACATGCACATACACTGGACGAGATCTTCGAGCACTGATTGTTGTATGTGTGTTCTCTGTAAATTGTAGCAATACATTATATTATATTATATATATATATATATATATATATATATATATATATATATATATATATATATATATATATATATATATATATATATATATATATATATATATATATATATATATATATATATATATATATATATATACACAAACACACACACACAAAAGCACACCAAATACCTTTAAATACATGTGACTGGAGTAATGAACCCCTTATTATAACTCAAATAACTCAATTTCTAAACCACAACCTTTGTATCCAGTACTGTATTGTAGCTTATCAAAAATGTTCATGAATGTTTAAGGACATAGATTCTGAAATTGTGCTTCTGTTTAATATTGAGTGCTTTATTATAAGATTATTCTTCTAATTAAGTCACATTTAACTCGAAAGAAACCAAGAAACTTTTTCTTCATATACTAAATATGCGCAATTCGGAAGTTGCGATAGGCCGGAAATTTGCATAAATTTGGTACTTAAGTCAACCAGTTTATGAATAATATGAGAGTGATGATATGTGTCAAGTGGGTCCTGGTCCAGCACAAAGTTAGACAGTAAGACAGAACAAAGCATCCCCCCCAAACAGCATTCTGCATCGTCACAACATTTGGCCTCAACCCAACTACAAAGACGCCGCATTTGGCCTTAACTGGGCGTCCCGAGGCTGCCCGGGGCAGCGTGGCACTACCTCGTCCTGGTTTATGTGGTCTGCCATGCCAGGCGAGGGCAGCGCGAGGATCCTGAGGGTGAGAGAGCGGGTCGGGGAACCTCCACTACAGCTTCCACTCACTGTTTGTTGGGATCTGGATGTTGTTTCTGTGACGTCACGCACAGCTGTTGGCTCCAACAGGCGAGCTTTGACAAGCGCACCCCCGCCATCACCACCAATCGATAACACTACATCTCTCTCTCTCTCCCTCTTTTTGCTGCCTTTCTCGAATGATCCACGTGACATTCAGGGCAAAGAAATTTGTGGAATAGTTCCCCGTTAGTCATTGTAGGGTTGGAGGAGGAATGTTAGCGGGGAGAGAGACTGAGGTGACAGTCGCCCGTCCGGTGGATTCCTGAGGACGTTCTTCAGGCAGTACGGATCAGCGGCATTTAAGGGTCGTAATTCAGTAAGAAAGAAGTCGCTGTATGGCAATATCGTAAGTCATGAGCTATAAAGTATTGATAGAATGTATTTACTGAAGTTTCCAATGATACGTGTTAATGGTTTTGACAAAATGTATTAATCAACAAAATCTTTACTAACAGTACCTATATATAATTTGTATATATTTTTTTTTTTTGAGATATATACAAGAGTTGTTACATTCTTGTACAGCCACTAGTACGCGTAGCGTTTCGGGCAAGTCCTTAATCCTATGGTCCCTGGAATACGATCCCCTGCCGCGAAGAATCGTTTTTTCATCCAAGTACACATTTTACTGTTGCGTTAAACAGAGGCTACAGTTAAGGAATTGCGCCCAGTAAATCCTCCCCGGCCAGGATACGAACCCATGACAGCGCTCGCGGAACGCCAGGCGAGTGTCTTACCACTACACCACGGATATAAAGTTCACTCTATGGTTTCCTTAGTCACGGACAGAAGGAAGCCTATTAGGCTTATCGAGGTCCCTAGCTCTAGTCCAATTATAGTGACCTTTCGTAGGATGCTACCCACAACAGTTGCCTAACTCCTGGGAAGTTATTTACTGCCAGATGAACAGAAGATCAAGTGAAAAAGAATTTTGCCCGATTTGCCGACCCTTTGCCTATCATGCTGAGGGAATTGAACCTGGGACCTCTCGGCTGTAATTCGACTATACACATACGCATGCACGTAGCTATATTTATAACATTTAAATAATATAAAATATGGGGAATATGCTAAGGAAACCTGGCCTCACATCACTAGAAAAAACGAGCTATAATTAGCTAGAGGAGACATGGTCCAAACATGAAAGATACTTACAGGAATAGAAAGAATGAATATCCAACATATTTAAATATATAATTAGTAAAGGAACTTCAGCGCTGTGGAATTCGAGGACTCTGAACTATATCCGGCCATATCAAGAACCTTTTTTATTATTATTACTATTATTATTATTATTATTATTATTAACAAGCTTAGATGCATAGCAATGTGCTTCTACCCTATTCTACATGAGGGGCCCATCTCACATGATGTCCGTCCGACAGAAAGTCATCCCCTCTCATCTCAAGATAACCCCATCCTCAACTTTAAGGCCAGATTCGACAAAAAACTCGACCAGGTACAACAAGGCTAGTAGGCTGGCCATGAAGAGCTAGACGTAGTGGGTTACTGATGGTCACCATTAAAGATCTCTTGATTGTTTTCTATATCCTCTTGGACCAACGTAATCCTTGTCTTAATTTGTTGAAAAGTTATTTGACATATTTCATCGACAAGAGTTTTTCCGTGGCGCTTTTCGCTATTTTATGAACATTCTTATCCAGCCATATTCCCACATGTGAAGGGATCCACATATATCTGACTTTACAGCCATTTTTTATTTAGTTGTTTAATGTTCTCTGTACACTTGTCCACAATATGCTGATATACATCTTCTACTGTTTAACTATTCCAACGGTCCTCTACTATCAGTTAGAAAAACAGGAATTTTTACTACTACTCCCACTTCCTTTATGCCAGCTTATACAGCTTGAAGTTCAGCCTGCGTTGTCAGTTAATTAAGCGATGTCCAATAACTATCCCTAGTGTAGATATCAGTGTAACGTACGATTATGTTACATTACTGAGTTGATTAGATACAGTGTTTAGTGAGTTTCATATTTATTGAGTAGTCTTGATTACAGTACTCGGATGTGGGCATTGTCGTAGACGTTCAGACGGAGCTTGGAGCAGAGCAGAGCTGAGTGAGGCCTGAGTCGCGGAGCTCTATGTAGGAGAGCGCGGCGGCTTGATGGGGAATTGTGAGTGTCTGAACTCGATGGGGAGCGAGAGCATTGATGCGGTCGTAGTCTGCTGTCTGCTCTGTGTCGAAGTTGTAGTGTCTTGGGGTCGAATAGAACGGTACACGCCGAGTGCTACATTCTTGAGGTTGTAGAGGTGAGGTAAATTCAAAGCGTCTATACTGGAGTTATCTGACTCACTGTGGAAATTGTACTCCTGGCTATTCAATTGGCTGATAAAGATTAAGCCACCCAACAGGTGGTGCGGGCATGAATAGCCCGTAACTGACTATTCGCAATTCGCTTGCTTATATTTGCTGACTACACCTCAGCTTCCTCCATCAGGATGGAAAGAATATTACCTGTAAATAGGGATAAGATTATAGCTTGTGTAATTAGTGCTAATTAGTTACGTCATTAAGCTAATGAGAGGCTGTAGTAAGTATATTGTTTGTACTCGAGTTCTGGCAGAATAAAAGCGTGGGCAATAAAAGAGGAAGTGGTCCATGGTTCCTTCTTGCTGTGGGCACCACTAGCAAGCAAATCAAGGGACCCAGAATGTGGAATGACCTTCCCAATCATGTTAAAGACTGTACCTCTCTCAACCAGTTTAAGATAAAAACTAAGCACTACCTAATTAACTCCCTGTAACCTTCCTTACCCCTATAATGTCAACCCATGTCTGTTATATTTAAACAATGCTGTTTGTCGACCAAATTGTATTTTTGCTGTTTTTCTGCCAAGTTCCCCCCTTTTTTATTTTTATATTGTCTCAACACATTTTATACTTTAATCTGAATTAGTATCAAGTTTTAGTCTTTAGTGTTTTTCCTGCCCGAAACGCTCTGCGTAATAGTGGCTTTAGGCATTGCATGTACTAGTTCTATCTATAAATTCAGCAATATTTGTATCACCCCTTGTATGTATGTACTTTATCTGAATAAACATTTGAATTTTGAATTTTTTGAAACAGGATTCATTCATCCGAATACGGAAGAGATTGTCAGGGAGTTGTGCATACCCCGCACATGCACCTTTCCTGTGCTAGGTAAGTACGACGGGCTCACTATAGCCCGTGATGCTTGGAACTTTTTGTTCCGAGTAGTTGAATCAAAAGCAACAATAAGAGTCGTGCATGACCTATGCGTAAATGAGTAAGACAAACATGGAGTATCCTGGTGTTATGACAGCACCACGGGCTAGGGGATGCGTCAGTACGAAGGGTTGCCTTCAGTGATGTCTGAAGTAATGAACCTAATTCGGGCTGCCAAAGAGCAGAACAAACTTTCTCGACGAGTACCAGTCTTTCATTTGGGTCTAGAGATGTTAAGAAATGTGCATTAGCCGCCGCCTCATCTGCGACTTCGTTCCCTCTGATTCCCATATGCGAGGGGACCCACTGAAGACGAAGATGCCAACCTGGTTCCTGGTAATATCTGAGGTACTCTCTGGATATTACTGAAGAGTTGGCCGAAGCTTTTCGGTCTGCAAGAAGAGCGGTCTTGGAGTCTAAGAACACCACCACAACTTGGGAGTGAGTGATCTGTTGTCATCTACAATACAGTTTACTTCTCATTTAGCAATGTTACCCCAATAAACATTTAAAAAAAACGCTGTGCATATACTACACTGTATAATGGCTTTATATAATATGTAATTTCTGTACCTACTGTAATACTGTAGTTTATAAGTATAACCGCTTTAGCATATTCTAAAGTATATTTTATAAATATATTATTATTTTTATTATTAGTATAATTATCACAGTATAGATTTATCATTTTCTTTAATTGCACACTTGCAAGTAAAGAAAACGAATCTAAGTTGCAAGGACCTTGAAGGTATACTATACCACTGACATTAATGTCCTCCTTTAGTTGATTTACAAAATATCAAGTATGAGTTTACATTAGTTTACCCGAGAGTCATTAATACTAGTTGCCAGGAAGAGGGCAGGAAGCCGTCGGCTTGTCGAAAGTCCCCCATTTGTCTTAATGATATTTTCCAATTGTTCTTTAAAAGTTAAGAGTTTTGGCATTTACGGCTTCGGTGGGTAGGCGATTCCATGGGTTTATAACCCAGTGGATGAAAAAGCCTCTCCTGTTCTCAGTCCTACATTGTGGCTTGTTGAGCTTGAAACCATTGCTCCTTGTCGGTGTTACATCTGACATTTTGAAGAAATTTTACGGATCAACACCCTCCAAATTGTTCAGTATTTTAAAAGTTTCAATTAGATCCGGCCTGTCATGCCTGGTTTGCAGTGTCGCTTGCCCTGTGGCCTTCAACAGTTTCTGATGCGTGAGTTGACTTAGCTCTGGAATGATTTTTGTTGCCCGGTGTTGTACTTTCTCCAGAGCAGCTATGTCTTTCAGAAGATGTGGTCTCCATGCTTGGTTACAGTAATCCAAATTATTTTTACACTTTATACACCAGAGATTTATACACCAGAGATTTATATAAATGAATCACTCTCTTTTTTCCTTAAAGTCAAAGGCACGCCTTATTATTCCGTGTTTGGTTAACTTTTTTGACTGCTGCTCCTACCTGCTGTGCAACTTTCTGTTAGTCGTGGATTTTGACTCCAATGTCCTTTTCTTCACCAATCTGCTGTAATGTTATGTTATTAATTTGGTAATTATTGTGGTGTGGATTGTTATGCCCCACATGCAGGGTGTTGCACTTGCCAAGATTAAATGCAATATTCTGAATTTACCGGAATTTGCCTGAGGACTGGTAATTAACACTCTATATAACCGCATTGACAAAGATTAAGTACTTTCGTATATTAATACATCTTCAGAAGGAGTCTGAAGATGTATTAATATACGAAATTCTGAAGATGTATTAATATATGAAAGTACTTAAGGAAATTTCTGTTTCAATTTTCCTTCGTGGTCTGACACTGTCACATTTTTAATCACGTGTTTATTTTTCGTGATTTACACACACACACACACACATATATATATATATATATATATATATATATATATATATATATATATATATATATATATATATATATATATATATACATACATACATACATACATACATACATACATACATACATACATACATACATACATACATACATACATATAAAGACAAGGAGCAAAGGGTTACATGATTTCAGCAAAACAAAAA